CCAAAATTAAATTAAGTCAACGAGCATATTTCCAGCCAAATTCAAATTAATTGTGAATTTTGAACGTGGTATTTGTTTAATTACAATTTGATTATTTAGTGGTAAAAAAGTAATTAATTACAAAATTGTGAAAGGAAAAAAAATTCGATGTTTACTAATTCGATTGTCAATAAGACTGTTTTCTTATCGTTTATGATAATTACCTCAGCGATAAGATAATAGTGATTTGGACTTTTGCTGTTATCATAACGAAATTTTCGCCGTTTGATTTTTAGCATTAACATCTAGCATATCAATTTACCTTCTCTTGTCTCTTTTTCTTCAGTTAATGTTGATAATAATTATCATGGACGTATTTTCCTTGCCGTTTGCTCACTTTTTGACCTCTTGTTCAGTACTGCGACACAAAAGTAACTATTTCACTTCTATAGTATTTTTTTTCATTCCTATTCAACTTCCAATCTTAGTAATTAAAAGGTTCTTCCAAAAATCATCATCATCTAAAAACAACTACTTGGTATTACACTTGCATTGGCATTAATTACAAAATTTTAAGCATTTGCAGAAAACAAACAAAAAGCCCCTTCCATATCTGTAGGAAATAGATCTTAAAATATTTCTAAAATATGCAGCTTTTGACAAAATATGGTTTATTTTCAGTTACCATTCCTTGCAATCATTTGTTTTACTCTACTTAGCTACTTTCCGTACTTGTTTTTCACTTTAAAAAAAAAACATACAAACAGGTTTTATTCAGTAATGATATAGGTAATTTTCAGGGCAGTTTCTGCGATGCCTATTTTTCGTGCAGTCATATGTCTTTTGATTGGAACAAACGTACTGGCAAATGAATTACTTTTCGTGCAAATTGTATGTTTCATTGAGTGTCTCTTTAAATTACTTCAGTAATCACAGTATTGTAAAAATCCGTTCGTGATAATTTTATCAGTCTTTACGTATTTCACTGTGTGGCAAGAACTTTATCAAGGTAGTGAATGAGTACGCCATAAGTTTAATAAACTATTATATCGGAATGCTGAAACTGGAGACAGAAGACTTTAAAACTATAGACTGCAATATTAAACAGTTACTAAATAAACAGAATTCATAAGCAACCGGCAACCTGCCGAGGACGTGGACTACATAAGATTGTGCAGAGGGGTGAGCTTATGCTTCTCCAGTTGTACAGTGTTCTTGTAGATACCGCGCCCTTTATCTACCAACAGGGCAGCGATTTTGAAGCATGAGAAAGCTCATAACACGTACTTGTCAATTATTGTGTACTATCTAAAGACTAGGTACAACCTCGCAGGAAATCCTACCGTTGAAAACGTATTAGCAGCCTAGAAGGCATTCTTGTATAGCTAAATAGAAAAGAAAACCCACCTTGCAAAGCTACACAAGATGAAGTCGACATCTTGTCAAGTTCATGCATTCAATTTCTAATCAGTCAAAGTTTTTTTTGTTTGTAACCTTCTGCGTCATTCCATGCAACTGTAATGTTTGTAAATTTTAAAACTTCACTTATCCACTTATGTGTTTGTTTCGGCACTATATTGTGAACTGGAATTATTTTTCCATAGAAGTTTCAATTTTCAAGTTACTCAGTTCATTGGATTTGAATTTGGCTCATAAAAGCCAGTTTGATGAAACTGAAATAAAATACAGATGCTCCACTAATTACTAATGACAATGAATTCACTTAATCTTTCAGTTTTCAGCTCATTTTCAATTTCATTTTTTTGGAAAAGCTTTCATAATATCTTAGGAGATGTTCAGGTTTGGCGACATGGAGATCGTGCACCGGTTGTTTTATATCCAACGGATATCCATGGAGAAGAAGTCTGGCCATACGGTTTTGGAGAGCTTACTGAAGTATCAAAAACAAATGATGAATTATTTAAATACAATTTGCTCATTTATTTAATAAATAAATTACTAGCATGCGCATAAATAAATCAGCTTCTGTATCAGTAAAATTTAAACTAACAGTGCAAAAATTACTCGCAAAACTAGGAAGTGATTCAGCTTGGTATGAAGCAGCAGTTTGCGCTTGGTCGCATGATTCGCCACCGTTATATTGAAAGAAAGTATCATTTTTTGTCTCATCAATATAACCCCAAAGAGGTTTGAATAGAATTTGTTTGCAAAATTAATCACTTTTGTCACAATTAATTAGGTTTTCTCAAATACCAGCTTTTGTGTAATCTGCAGAATTATCAAAATACAACTTTCTAAACTTGAATAAAATGTTAAGAAATCCAGATTCATTCGGTATTGCTTAATAAGTAACATATTGCTATTTAAGACGTATGTGAGTTAGTGAAATTTGCACAAGTAATCATTGCAAATGCTGCAGTCACTATTGTCTGCTTCTCTACCTCAAATTTTACCACATTTTTGTAGGTAAATTTGAAATCGTTTGGCATAATTCATTATTACTTCATCTACAGATATATATCAGAAGTACAGACGTGAATCGAACTTTAGTAAGTGCCATGGCAAATCTAGCTGGAATGTATCCAAATGGAATACCAGGTAGAGATTATCCACGGAGCAAAGAATGGCCCTCTAATTGGACACCGGTTCCAATACATACAGTCGACAACCATGATGATTTTTTAAGTTTTATTTTACTGATCAAAATGAGTACTGTTTTTATCTTACAATCAATTAAGATCAACGAACGATTTAAATTTCTTGCTAAGAAGTAACAACTTGAAAACTTTTCACGAAGAATAGAAAAATTGGCAGGCTATATTTACAAGCTATGTGGTTATATGAATATTTTATCTCTGCTTTTATATTCTGCATTTTTTTCCTTTTATTGATCTATTATCAGTAATGAGTTGATTAGGCTGAAATTCAAGTAATGTAATAATATCTTTGGAGATGACATACAGCTGCCTTGCATGAAGAAAAATCATATAGTTGTTGAATTTTTAAGGTTGGTAATGTGTTTGCGCAGTGTCCACGTGTTAATCAATTAATGGAAATCATCCGTCGTAGTCGATCATACCAAAACGTATTGAAGGAAAATGAAGTGAAAATTTTAATTTGCTATTAATTAATAAATTTCAATAGCAAATTAAAAATTATTTAATTTTAGAATTTCAGAAATACTTTTGAAAGTGAAAATATTTCTTTTAAAGCCTGTCTTAATTTCATACACTGCAAGCAACGGTTTGCCAAGTTCTTGTTTCTTATTTTCTCTCTATAAAAATGTCAGGCAAGATTTACATTTATTTCCTTGTAACTTCACTACTTCCTAAATTACTTTTGATCGTATATTTGTTGCGATCAAATTAATGTAAATTTAAAGAGATTAACATTAATTAAAATACCTTTTGTTGTTGTAGTTATCTGATAAAATTACAAATGCTATAATTTATTTAGGCATTTTTTGAATATGTAAGTAAGAAAACTGGCATGAGAGTAGATTTGGAAAATATTCATCTTATTAATGATGTCCATTACGTTGAGGTTCGTTTTTTTACATTTCAATTCAAATTTTAATATTTTTCATTCTTATTAAATAGTTATAATTTTTAAATTAAAAATGATCTGAATTGTAACTGCTAATTTGAACTAGTTTTTTTTCTATAGACAGTGCATAATTTGTCACAACCAGCTTGGATTACTGAAAGTGTATCACAAAAGTTGCTGAATTTGTCACTGATTGCTGATAAATACATTTATGGTATATCAGAACCATATTTGCCTGAACTAATTACACTTAGAGGAGGTCTGTTTTCATGACTGCTTTCATGATTATTTTATTACAGAAAAAGCGTACTGATATTGTGACGATAAATAGTTTCTTGTTGTTTAACAAATTATATTATGATATATTTTATAAATGCTGTTAAGTGTGAAATTGCTTATTTTACTTTTTGTATTTTTTGCTTTTTTCAAAATGTTTCCTAGAACTATTTTGAGCCTAGCTGAAGAACCTTTGTTTTTAATTTAATTACTTTTATTTCATCGAATGTAGTAAATTTCAAGCAATTACGTGGTTCTTGAAATCGAAATTTAATATTCGATCTTTGGCAATTCTTTATTGAAATTGACTAAGGAAAATATCTAGCTAAAGTACTATCTGCTACTTCAAAATGTTTCATTTACTTCATTCACTGAAACGCTTATAAAATTATGAATGGCTTAACTGCAAATCGCAGAGGTTTTGCTTGACTTTTATAAGTGCAAATTGCTTGTTATGTTAAGGTTGATAGCGATTACTGAATTACTACTCAGTCTACATAAAATTCCAAGCATTAGCAAACTTTTGACAATATTAAATATGATCTTTTTTCCATGTGGAATAAAAAACTTGCTTGATCCTTCCTTCCGTCTTGCAGGTCTTGAATGTTTGCTGTTCTTAAGAACACTTCAAATAAAGTATAGTATTTCCAGGTAGTTTATTGAAACTATTGCTCGAAAACATACAACAGAAAAAGGAATGCCTAGTGAACTCGCACACTTCTGATTGCTTGTGGATCAGGGGAAGAAAATATTTCGCACTATCAGCTGTATATACTTGAATTTTACATTTCTTTTGTTATTAATTCCTCTAATATTGATCATTCAAAATAAATCTACTGAAAGATATGAAAATTATGCCCTATTTTAATTATAATTATTGATCAACTGTGTTTATCAGTAACGTGCAAGAATATTATAGTTTTACTAAAAGCCGGAAACTAAAAATTAGCACAAAATTTTGCAGCAAAGTATTGCAGGACTAATACATATATTGCTTTGTCGTAAGTTTATATTAATTTTAGAGATAGTTTTAGCACGATACAACAGTTGCTGCTTTATTAGCCACTTTCGGTGATGAAGAGAAAGTGCTCAGGAAAGGTTTTCCAAAGTATACTGCCTCAATAGCTATTGAGTTATGGAATACAACAAAATTTGGACTGGCTGTTAAGGTTTTTTTTTTCAAGTTTTAGACGCATTTAATTTCATTTGTTTCGTTTTCAATTAATTTGTATTCTAAACATTATTCGTAATTTGCATAATTTGCGTGAATCGTTTCATCATCCACTATGTTTATTTTTTCAAATAGACTTTTGTCTATCTACTATTATAATACATGTTTCGATTTTAATGTCTTTCCAATTACTTTGCATTCAAAACTGTTTGTATTAGCGATAAAATTATAGTCAAGAAGTTCACAGTGAATTTCTGAGTTCAGTAGTAGTAACTGAAATTTTCAAATTAGCTTATCTACTTCGTTACATAATATGTGATAAAGTATCACAAATATGACGAAAGATGCTTTCATATTTATTCATTGTAAAATACGTTTTTAGGTACTTTATCACAAAGCATTCCATCACCCATATCAGGTAATAACTCACTTTACTCAAGGATGTCCATCAAGCATCTATTATTGTCCATTAGATATGTTTCTAAAACGTTCAGAAGTTTTCTTACCCACCGATATCAAGCAGGAATGTTTACCAAAGCTATCACCTGATGGATTATCTTAAAAAGTATGCGATGTTGCATCTTGTTGATCTTTTTTGAACATTTTAAAATTCAAATCTTCAACATTGATCAAATTTCAACCACTTGTAACGAAAATGAATATATTTCTCTAGAAAATTTCATTAACTAAGGCAAGGAAATTGTCCAACATAAATTATAATTTCCAACGAAAGATTGCTTACTAATCTTGTATGTCATGTATCTATTTTAGTCCTCAATATAAAAAATCTACCTTAAACTGTGCACTATTCCACCATATTTATACCCTTGACTTCTTTCCAAGAGCACAGCTGTGTCAGCGTGTACCTCAGTATTAGTGGCTGACTTTGCTCGATTCACTTCCAATCTTACAACCTCAAGTAACTCTAGGTTTCTTCGGCCATACATTTCGACGTGTTCTCTGGGCTTCCTCGATTAATGATTTTATTAGCAAGGAGCTTGAGATCAACATTAAATAGTTAATGGTTCGTTAAGTGCATCGTCTGATCCCACACACATTACAAACATATCACACATCCTACAAACACATTACACACATATTGCACGCGTATAACTATGAAGGTACAGATACTATACTCTTCTTCACACATTACACACCTTCACACGTACTGTTCACACCATATTTGCACACACTGCACATTGTATGCAACACACACAACACATGTACCACATACACACTAGACATACAAACTATACCCAAACAACAATTTAACAAACACGTCCACACATACACACTTGATGGTCTTCATAGTCATTTTACAGTTAAAGAATTCTTGCTCGTGATCGATATTAATCGAAAGGATTTGCTGTTTAGAAGCATTTTCACTTGATTTACAAATGTGATTCTAAGTCAATCACTCTGAATCAGAATAAAACTGACAGATGACAATACATATACACCACTTAGTATTGCGGTCTTGCGAAGATGAAAGAACTTGAAGAATGATCCCGCGTTGGCTGTTTTCTTCTTCGTTTTCCGAGTTAATTGCACAAAATATACGATCTACCCATGGACAAATTTATGCACAGGATCTTTATGCTATGGCATGTAAAATGAAGCCATGTTTCAGGACACTAAAATCAAAATATCTATGAAATGTACTCATATGAAAGTGAAAACTGTTGGTCGAATTTCTGAAGTCGTACCAATTTTTTCGCATGAAAAGAATCGGTTGACGAACTATGCTGCTTTCACAACAAAATATTTTCATAACCTGTTTCACGGATTAATGTGTATACAGCTTATTATTTCTTTGATAACTGCAAATTTACTTTATTTAGATTTACTGTTTACCATATTGGCAACTGGGTCTGAATAAAAGAAAAGTAGTTCTAAAACAAAAATTGCATAGAAAAAGTAAAAAATACAACTTGACAGACATTGTCATGAACCTATAAAGATCGTTTGGCAAAGCAATGAGAGAAAATTCTGAATCATAACTATACTCGACGGCATAATGAGGCACTGCGGTACACCCATTTGGGACTCTGCGAGAAATGTGGTCTGGTAGCATTTTCGCGTCTGCAGAGCAATTCTGTTCAGGAGATCATATCGAGTGAGAACGAGGAGTTGTAAGATGTTACACAAGTAAGAACAGATGTAAAGATAAATGGGGGTAGATCGATAATATGGAATGAAGTAATCTTGATAGAAGTTGGCATTACTAGTTAGGTCAGGTTAAGAGCTCTCGCGACCAAGACGGAGCAGAGATGAAATGCAGAGCGAAAATAATTTCGTATCTGCTGACATGGGATAAGGACGCTTGAACGCATTTCATTCGATCCCCGCTATTAAATCGACGAGGAGGAAGCACGGAGACCTGTAGAGGAGTTCGGGATGAGTACAGTGAGAGTGCCAGATTTCCAGCACAGAAAGGAGAATCAACCTCCATGTCGTATTATTTGTTTGTTGGTATAGTGTGAAAGAGAAAATAAGCCAAACTCTAGCGATGTAATAATTGCAGTAATCAGTTAATATTTGCTTAAAAAGAAGAATCAGTCAAATCCGCAAAGATTCACTGATTTTAACTCGAATTTCCGATGAAACTGATTGGTACGTTGAAGTGAAATTAAATTCTTGTACGAAAAAATATGTTCTGCAACTGCGATCACTTTTTGAGGTTTATTAAGAAGCAGGAGTATCAAGCATATTTAAGCAAATATTAGCTGATATATTTGCTCAGTGATTACTGCTTCAATGATTAGATCAGTTACTCAGTATTTGTTTCATGAAAAGAATACAGAAATTAATATCCTGATTTTGATATAAGTACAGTATTAACTTTGTTAGCTTCATATTATCATTAATTTACAATACTCAAAAACAAATAAATTAGCTTTTTAAGATTTTATTACCATTGTAAGTATTTATATTACACCATAATACTACTGAAATTTAAAAAATTAAAACTTAAGTGCTCAATAACTGTTAAAATAAAAAGGAAGCTATCCAACATATGGATTTCCTCTAGTCATTCAAAATTAAGATTTATTATCACTCATAGACATTGAATGAAGTTACTTTCTAAAACATGTATAGCTATTAAGTAAATTAGTCTTTCTTTAAAAAATATGAAATATTAAGTTTATCGGCTTTGCTTGGATATTCATTCAGTCTTTGGGTTAATTTGTTTGGAAAAGTTAGATACTTTTTTGCTGTGAATATTTTCACTTCATTTGAAAAATATTTTTGTGCATTTAGCTCGTTCATTTAAATTGATTTATTAATGTATATAAGCATGAAAAAGTTACATTTAATTTGCAATTTTAGTGAAAAGCATAAATAATGCAGATAAGACCAGATTTTTTTTTTTGAAATTTTGAGCAAGCTGCCAGAAGTATTGCTAGCAGGTACTTTTTAGGAGCTCTTCTTTTTTGTGCTAACGAAAGTAATATACCTTGTCGAAGCAAAGGAAGAATAAATTTCAAATCCTTAACTTTAATTGGCATAACAAAAGTATTTCGTTCAAAAATGTATGATTCCAAATGAAAAGCTTTCAAAATGGTGCATAGCACGCAGCTCCTTGGGCTGGTACAGTACCTATTATTGTGGCTAGAATTTCACACATAAATCCATATTCACTCAACTGAAATATATTAATCGCAGCACACTGATAATATATACACGCGTTGATGCATTGCTCATTATCCTATAATAATTTTTATCACTCACAATCAGTATTAGGTAATATGCGAACAAAAATGTATTAAATTTAATTCTTTCATGGCATTTATTACTATTAGCTAAAATATAATTTGTGATTTATGTTAGCATTTCATTTGGCAAAAGTGACAATGCTATAATCGTATTTTTTTAATGTTATGCGAGGAACTGCGTGATTAAATATGATCGAAAATAGCATGGTTATGATTATACGTATTAATAATATTGTAATTGTGCATGTAAATATTATTTGATTATACTTATTATTTCCTTGACTCATCACTTTTCTACTATACGAAAGTGATTTTTAAAATGAAAATAGCTTACCATAACATTTTGTATTTCGTGAATTTTTTCACCTTTGCATTCCGTTTGCTGATGTAGATAATATCCCACATTGTTATAGTAAAAAGAAGGTGGCAGTGCTGCAAATTATGATTATATTATTGTGTGAAAATGATGCATGAAAAGCTTGTCAGTGAAATTCTTCATTATTACTATTATTCTGGTATCTGAATTGTAGTAAGGGCATAACAGTATGCAGTGGTGGTTAATTTATATCATATTTAAATGATAATATAAATAAAAGCATGACAACAACACTACTGCAATAACAATAACAAAGATTATTTTAAATGGTAATTGAGATAAAGACTTACTTCCACAACAATTTGTCATGATTGGCAAAATGCAGATTGCAAAAACAATTGCTAACACTTGATTGAAAGTCATCATAATTGATCTGCAATTTTCAGTTCTCTTGACAATGACAATGAGTATAACACAAGTTCATAATCACAACAATGATGATTACCGAAAATTAGCTGAAAGAGCAGAAATTGAGAAGGCAATTGCAATTAAAGCTGGAAGAAACTTATAGACTCTGAAATATAACCTAGCATTTCTATGTACATACAAATAATGAAGAGCATTTGGCAACCAAACAAAAATGCTGATTACTCATTTTTGTACTGAAGATCGCTTCTGTGAAAACAAGAAAAAAGTTGAGATTATCGCAATAATTATTCGAATTCATTTCGCTAATATCATATATATGATAACAGTAAAACTGTTTGAGTAAAGACTGCTTGTTGTAGGCAAAATTTATCATATTTTATAGTTATAATGATTGTTGACGGAATAATGATGTTTGCGATTGATGAAAGAACTTTCATAAAGCGCAGAACATCGTCAAATATTTTCTTACTCTCATCTAAAATAAGAAATCGAAGTATCTCAATTATTAGTATTCTATCAAATAATACATAAAAAATAACTATAAAATCTATCACAATTTTTTTGATATTTTAGAATACATTTTTTTTACGATGCTTCCATAGTTACAGACATCCAAAAACTTTCTGCTATTCTTGTTCATCTATTTTTCCAAGCATGCATAGATTGATACAGAATTATTTCTTGATCAATAAATATTAGCATTTCGTGCATTATTCTTTTTCAGATTATGCTATCACCAATCAGTTAAGCATCATTTTTATCAAAGACTTTTCAAAATTAAATTTCGTATTACTTTGATAGAGTTATGGAGGGAGTACAAGTAATTAATATTATTGTAAGAATAAATATATATGAAACTAAAGTCAGTAGAATTTGTAAACAAGAATACATAAAAATGATAAAAAATAGAAATTTGGATACTAAATAATTTGAAGTTGAAAAAGAATGTAGTGAAACTTTAGATCCATTGGAATGTTTAGTTAGCTTTTTTTTCCCGTTCAGTTTACTTAGTCAAAATTTTTCTTGTGAACTGCAGCAATCGCTCGCTTGTGCACTTAATTTTATACAGTATTTATTCAAAATAATTCTATATGCTATTTGTGAGATGTGACTGTACATGCAATTTGATTTATCTGCACTTAAGTTTTTGCTCTTAGAACATTTACTATGAATTAGTGCCAGAAATCATTTTTTGGATCACTTAGCCATCAGTCAACCAACTTCATAAAATAAAAAGATATATGAAAACGGTAACCTCAAACTTGATGGCTAATTCAAATACTATGACCGATATACTGATAGGAAATTTGGCCTACCGTTACGCAAAGAATATTTTAATTACTTTTTTGAAGAAGATTCAAAATATTTTCACTTTTGCTGCACAACCATTGGTAGCAGCACATATATCAGAATCTAAAACCAGTTCATATTGCATGACATCCCATACTTTTCTTTGCAAAGTGCATTCGATCCCCACACTTTTATCCCTTCCTCTGTCTGATACTTTTTTCATTATTTGTTAATCTATCACTGGCAAATGGAATTTGTGGAAAGTATACAAAAAGCATACAATATTCGCTATTTTCTACTTTGAGAATGTACTTGCCACTTCCATATTTGCTTTGTGGTTTAGATTTCTTTGCAACCATGAAAATAATACCAAAAACATACTCTCAGGAAATGCTTGCAATTATAAACTACTACAAGTACACTTGCAAAACTAAAGTCCGGAGAAGTATGAAATGACATGGCTGACTTGCCCACAATAGCTACTAGAATTAGATACCTACGGCTTACCTCCAACTCCTATAACAGTTGCTTACTTCGTACGATTGACAAGATCTAGTTGATACTGTTTACCAAAATTCCATAAAATTAATTTCACAGGTTTCCTCATTATTTTATTTGCATATTTGCACGAAGAACTTTCATAACAGATCGTAATTTTATAAAACTTGATCCTAAAATCCGTTAAAACATAAGCTAACAACATTTATCCAATCTCATTTTGTTTGCCCATAATAATAAGGCAGATAACACAACAACAAGATACAAATACTCAGCAGCACAAGCATTATTATGTTCAGGTTAGAATAATAATTCATATTCCGAATTCTTTGCAGATCATCCTTTTTGTTTCCAGTACAAATGAAGTTTAACATAACCTAATGAAGAAATAATGTAATCACTATTTTGATACTTTCATGACTGAAATTGCTCCAAACGCATGTTTAGCACTTCTATCAAACTGTCACGTGGTACAACCTGCAATGTCATGGAAACAATGGCGGTAAAAAGTCGAAAATACGTTATTAAAAGGACGCAACTAGTCTAAACATTATACAATAAAGCAGTCAGCACAACGAAAGTGAATACAAATATAACGTTTTATAAAAACTTTTGAATTAAAGTACCTCTTCAGTACGCGTCGGTACATCCCTTAATTTTACAATATTTTCTTGTAATTCACATTCTCCGATAATAACTGCTAACGGTATCTTATATTCCTCACAGTACTGCATTTGATCTAACATTTTGGGATTTGCTTTTAGAGCCATTTCAGCCTAAAATAAAGAGAAACAATTCTCAACAACGATATGACAATTTTTCATAAATCGCCGAAGTATTTGGAACACCACAGTACCAATAAAAAATTTACATAGACAAACCTTAATATTATTATCCCAGAGTAATCGACAAAGCTTCATCCTTTCCTTCACCATCTCCTTTTGAGCAGATGCGACAAAAACTTGAGTTTCTTTCGACCGTACTTTCTTCATCTAAATGACCAAATTTGTTTCAAATTAATGCAGACAGTGTGACACAATATAAAATATCAGGACTGTGAATATTTACCCCTGACTTCTCCTTCATAATTGCGAAAAGCCTTTCAATACCAATTGATATTCCTACGCAAGGCACCTTATGTTTCGGCAAAAATACCGACACCAAATTATCGTAACGGCCACCTCCCGCAACCGATCCTATATTTATGCTTTGTTCCTCATTCCCATAATCATAATCTAGTTCCATTTTCTTGGAATAATCTAAAGTTCAAAAGTTTATACTTTAACTTCATTTCTGAATAACAGATAAATGGTACCTTACCTTCTAATCCGACTAAATTCTTATTTCTCAGTTCAACTCCAAACTTTACCAGAGCATCCACTCGTTAAATATTTTAACAAAACACTCCGACCTCAAAAACTTGACCTTTCAAAGTAACTTCAAAGATTGCTCCCGTATAATAATCAAGTCCACGAGCCAAAGACGGTTCAACGGAAACATTCGAAATAATGCCAAAAAGTTCACAGTACTCCAAAAGCTGCAAAACCTCAGCTATAGCTTGCTGTATGTCACCATTTTTTGATGCCTTTTCGTTTGTCGCGAACCACTTGAGCAAATCAAAATTAGTCTTCCCAGTATTTTCTGAAAACATTTCATTTCTTATGTGTTATTCTAAAACTACTCTTGTTCAGCAAAGCAAATTTAATACCATGAAAATATGACACGGTTTTAGCATATTCGGATATTCAATTAGCTCCCCCATATACTGCAATAATAACAGCATTTCTATTTAGAACTCAATCTTAATTTATGAATGAACAAAAATTACTATGATTTATTCATCCTACTATTACTCTTTAAAGAGTATTATTTTCTTCAGTAGCATCAAAAGAAGAAAATTCCGAAAGAAACGAACGTCTAGAGCAAACAAATGCTTCTAATTTGTTGACAGCATCACGTTCAATATGTTTGTCAATACATAGTTCATCTCGAATATTTTCCCATAGAACCTTGTCTAATTTATCAATTGACGAACATACTGTCTTAAAGTGTTCTTTTGGTATACCACAAATAGAGAATATACCATCCAGTAATAACTTATGATTGATCTGAAAGCAAAACTTAAAAATAAAAATGTTTACACAGATTTCTATAACAACGGGATAAATAGAGTTTTCCATGGGACACGAAGGCTTTTTAAATACCTCGAACTAATAAGCTGGAATGAAAAATGTCATTTTTTTTTTAAATGACACTTTTCATTCTGGCTTCTTGATTTTAAAACATTTTCATTTGGAATTCCTTTCAATTGAGAGAAACCACACACCTTTACTTCAAATGGACCAACATCAAGCGCAGAAAATATTTCATTAACAATTCTCAACAATTCCACTTCTGGAATCATAACATCATAAGTACCAGCAATATCGAAGTCCTAAAATGATGTTGAACGCAAATGAGCAATTTTAATATTTAAAGCTGATCCTTAATTTGAAATTCGTTCCGTATTTATTATGGCAAATGATTTCGTGGCAAACAAAGATGCAAAAAAACCGTCCGATTTTACCTGCTGATTTGCAGGTAAGATCGGTCGTTTATTTGATCTTTATTTGATACTATTAACACAGCAAAAATACTAACAACTGTTGACAACAAAATCTCTTATCATGAAAAACAAATTTCAACAGCAATGACGGAAAAGCAGATATTTACACATTGATAGAACTCTCGAAATCGCCCTCTTGAAGGGTTATCCCTTCGATATACTTTGCCGATATGATACCGTTTCATATACATAATTGTCTTATTCATTGCAAGATAACGTGCAAAAGGTACCTGCAACAAAATGTTAACTACATGGCCACAAATTATCACAGAAAGGTGAAGGATAAAAATTCTAGGCGTAACAAACTACAATGAAAATAATTGCTGGTATCATAAATGAGGAAAAAACGAGAACACGATTCTAATACGGATCTGATGAATATGAACGCAAAAAATTGGTTCTCGACAAAACATTTTATTAACGACGACACTGTTCACTTAAGGAAAAAAGTATACCGTGAGGTCATAACGTAGACTTAGAAGTTCTCCCCCTTGATCTACTAAATCATAAATTAGTTTTCCACCTTCTTCACCATACTTTCCTTTTAAAATATTACTCAGTTCGAACACGGGTGTATCAATTGTTACACCACCATGTCTTTTGAAACATTCTGTTACTATGTCAATCACATGTTTTCGTAATGCCATGTCTTCAGGATCATAATCCCGAGTGCCTGAAAAAATAAAAAAACAGACTTGTCTAAAAAAACGAAACTGCAATGAAGTGTTTTGTTGTCTTAGGAAATTAAACCAAGAAAAATTACCTCTTGGACATCTGATTTCGATCTTTTTTTGAGTTCCATCGTCTGCCAGAAATTTCTTACCTACCAAGTTAGCCACTTTATTTTCCAACTGAAAAAATATTTAAAATTGGGATTTCTGAAGTTTAAAATAATTCCAATTTAAATTAAAAACAAACTACAGCAAATTTTAAGACAATGATCACAAACAAACAATAAAACCTGTTGTCGAAATGATGATCACCACTATATTACCTTGCAAATAGCTCTGCTTGTCTGCATTATAAAAGTTTTGAAAAAGTATGAAGATGGCAGCAAACGTCTCGCAACAGACGACATTAATAACGAAAATTATTACGATCCCCAAACTAACTTTTTAGCAAAGTATCATAACCATTTCACATTTCCATCTACCTGATAATACCACGACAAAGAAATCATTCATTAATTTAAATATTAAAAACTCATTCTATCTGACGACATAAAGCTTAATGACCATCATTTCAGCAACAAATTTATACAAAATCAGTAAACTTTTATCTATTTTCAGAATAAACATCTGTGCAGCTAATTTGAAGAATTAAACATAGAAACTTCTGGTCAAAAAATAAGCAACTGTTTATAATAGGATTTGGATCCTAAAATTCTAAAACAAGTAACTACTTTTAAAAATCAAGAGAAAATGCATGTAGTATTTTATACGTAAATCAGAGTTGCAATCTTAACATCGAAATAAATAAATAAATAAGGCGGTTACAATCGATAAAAATTGTAACGTTTCTATTGAGAATCAAATAACAACAAAATAAAAATTGATTCTCAGAACAAAACTCAAGCCTGCTTCACAGACTGATAACGGTAAAAAATAGTTACAATCAGCAAAGTCTGTAATCTGGAAAAAAGAATTAGGGAAGAAAAATAAAACAATTTACTTCCCGCTAGCAAACAAGACTGTTTTGAAAAGAATTGTTGTTACAAAGATTACATTCTTCCTTCATGTTTCGTAGTTAAATATTATATGGCTTTACTTTGACTTTTTCAACAGAAAGCACGTTTACCATTGCATATCTTTTAGATTTCTACATTCTAATTACTACGAAGATTTTCGCTCAAACTTTTAAAGTAATAATTCTCGTCAAACCCTCTTCATAAAAAATTATGACTTTAACTTTAATAAAAATGTAACAGATATTTATTTATAATTCAGTACCACGTCTGCATTCTCATCTGATTTTGTTAATATCCGTATTTCATTTGTCAAAGCGATAATTTCTTGGTGCAATTCTTGTATGGGGTTATTGCCTCCAACAGAATCTTCCATCTACAAACAGACTTTTACTATTTTGCAAAACTTTCATACTTCCCAACATTTGAAATTACAACCAACATTACAAGCAACAATAAAAGCTCTGAATTTCTGTCAGTTTTATTTGATATTTTTCAACGAAATTAATAAGGAACATACCCTAACTACAATATATACAATGACAAAGTATTTTGCTTAATTTTATTTTTATATAATAACTACATTTATTGTTTATCACGTAATTTAGCATTACTTTTAGAAAAATGAATAATGAAGATAAGTATGCAAAATCATGATGATATTCCTTCCTTGAACCAAGTGTTCAAATAGACATTAACTTCAATATCGGTGAGACTAATTCCTACATACTTCATCTCTAACTTATAAATAAAAAGAGGAGATAACAATGATTATTATCAAAGAAATAGCCAATAAAGACAAGATGACGACAAACCCACACATTAACAAAATTCGTAGTCTAGATCACGTCTTGATCTAAATCTTCCAGACCAAATTTCTACGCAATTACCCGTACCTGACAATATCCCCGGCCTTTTCAGTGTAGTACTAAAATACGGCCTGTCGTTAAATAACAACTCTCGAGTGATTATGGGTTTATCGACTTGTCTGTGTAACCTTTAACATTTATCCGTTAATTTGCATTTTTATTTGTTTTTGAGAGCAAGTATGAGTGCGAAGTGAAGTGGACTCAGCTTTCTAACAATGTTGGCTATGGTTTTTAAAAATTTTCTGCATTATGAGATATCGTGAGTTTGCTTTAGAAGTGAATTGTATTCGAGTATGAATTAATTCTGTATAATTTTTTTTTTCGTTTTTTGTATAATTTTCGAATACACATTGCTTATCCATAATGCATTTGGTAACCCAGCTGTATGATTAGGTCTGTGAATTAATTTGAAACGTTTTTCTGGATAATAACTAATCGATATTTCTATCACTGATTAATGCATATTTTGTGGTTGATTTGATAGTTACAAAAAAGCATTTTATATACTAAAAGTCATTTGTCAATTTTTGGAAAACTTTTCGAGAATAATTGCGCACAGTTCTAGAAATATTCAGAATTGTGATTACAAAATCAAGATTACTGTAGTCTATGGATGCCTTGTTTTCTGATTGGCACGAGTTTTCTGATAACCAACTATTTCAAGTATTATTTTTCGAAATCACCATAGAAGAGTAATCAGTAATAGTGATATGAATTTTATGTTTTTTTTTCTTGTGTCGTTTTGCTTCTCCTCGAATATTTTTGTCTGCAAAAGCAATTAATTACCTGCTAAATTAATTGCATTCAGGTCCATTTTCTCCATTACTCGGTTGCTAAATTCATACATTAATTTGTTAGTATGAGATTGAGCATCAAACCTGATTGCAAATAGTACTGAGAAAAAGTTTTCATCTGGAAATGTAAGTCAAAAGCAAAGTGCTATTTATTTTTTGACCATGGCGTGGTAATTTTCAAATTCAGCGTTTGTTCAATCATTTTGTGCACTTGAACTGATTTTATTTTGTAAATGTAAGTTATGAATGATTGTCAAAGTTCTTTGCAAATTATTTTTGTGTCATAAAACTGTATTATTGTTTATTTGTACATCTGAGAAAGAAAATTCTTTTATCAATCTCAGTGATAAGCATGCAATTTCACTCCCTTTCTGTTTTCAATTTTTTTATTTCTCAGTATGCCCTGTATCTTGTATTGAATCGTCTTCGACAGTTTCTTCATTACTCTTCGAGAGACAAGACGACAATCATTTCCGTCTAATTGTATGCAGTAATTGCAGAGATTATGAGCCGTTATCCATACTCGCCTTATGTATTTTCAACAACTGCTAACACTACTTCATGTTACCTTTATAATACTCCAGTGATTAATACCGGACATCATCAGCATTACTCTTCTCCAGTTTACAGCAATACAGTCACGAATTCAGTTCCATCTGGTATAGTATATTTAGTTAAAGTATTGAAATGATGTTGTATGTTATGTTTCCAGCATTTAAGAAAATTATTTGTCATTTCAATGTTGTTTGTAATGTTTTAAATTCAAGTTATGCCGGTTGTAAAATAAATGATGATTTAACAACCAAATGTTAAGATGTGTATATGCAAAGAGATTCACAACTGCAAACTCAACAGCAGACAACGTACACTCCTGATTGTAGCGGGTTTCATCCTAATGCAAACGTTCCACCTTTTCATCCCCCGTCTTGTGCAGCGCCTCAGGTAATTTCATACCATATTTTCAGCATATTCTTCTTGAATTTTTTTCATTATATCAAGTGGCATAGCTTAGCGAGTTCAACTAATTTTATTTCTTGCTCACTTTACGATTGCAATGATTTTTACTTCATGATTCTGTAATTGTATTTATACTACAGACATAAGTAGTTGTATGAGTCTTTAATAGTAATCATTTTGAAGATTCATGCTCTTTGTCTTGTGTTCTTTCTTTTAAGTACAAGCTTTTGCGGATCAAGAGATTTAGTCAGTAGTTTTTATCATGGTCAGTTTTGTAAACTCGTTGAAGTGGCATAGAATTATTTGGGACCGAAATGAAAAATGTTATTGATAGTACTATTCACATAAATAGTACTATTTATTTTTTATGTACTGTTTTTTCGTTCACCGCATCTGTACTAAAGAAATTTTAGTTTCCTGTTTATGAAACCTCACCGTATGGAAATGCTCCGATATATGATGCATCACATTCATCTAATCCTTATGAATGCCAGGTTTGTTTGCATGTTTTACATATTACATCGTCTTGAAACTAACCTTTCAATATTACTTAGTAGTCTTTGAGTTTCTGTTGTCTAAATTTGTCGAGTTTTTGTCCTTTAAATTCCGTCTTTCTCAGCCGCAATAAAAACTTAATTTATTTTTCTACTAAACATTTTCTCGTATAATGCGTTTTAAGATAACATATTTTCCCTTTCAATCCATTTTTATCATTTCAAACACTTATTAATTCTTTTTTCTTTTATGAGTTTTACAAAGCTCTTTGTAGATGATTCATCTGGACTGCTTAATCATATATGTTAAAACTGTTTTTCGGTTTCCCGGCACACACTTGCATTTTATTTGTATTCATTTTGATAATCTGGAACTGTAACATTTTGTAGATTTCCTTTATTCGTTTTTATGGAAGTTATTTTGCAAGCGCACACAGAACTTTACTCAAGTCTACTTATGAAGTAGTGTGGCAGTAATTTTTAAATTAAATAGTTGATCATTGGCAGTCTTAACATCTTAACACATGTGGAGCCTCAGTTTTGTTGCTAATCTTGAGTGATAATATTTTTATACGTGGTTGTTATAATTAATGATGGTAGAAAATTTGATACATGAAGGGTTAATTAGATTGATATTAAGAAAAATTAGCTAGATACTTATTGTTCCAGTAATATTGCTGCCACAAAAGTTTTGTTTGATTAAACTCGAGAAAATTCTTTGAATTATATTATGCCAGAAAGGTTGCTGCAGTGGTAAAGGACTGATGATATACTGTTCAGTAATAATCGCGGATTGGGATAATAGTGGTACATCGTTTTATACATATGCGTCCAAGTAAATTAACTCTTGAGAATTTGGATTATTATTATTATTATTATTATTATTATTATTATTGTTATTACGCATAAATATACTGAATGTATATAAGTTTATGTGTCTGTCGGTCGGTGTGAGTGCTTGTGATAGAAAATGGGGAATGGAAATGATGAGGAATTGACTGAGCCAATCTTTAATGACATTCGGAAAATAAAAATTATAGAGGATTTTCTAGGCGTAAAGTAGGTCATCATCTATTGAATGGAAGGGTAAATTGTGTGCAGTAAAGAACACAGGTTAAAAAACGTGAAGATATGGTGCTCCATTTTATTTGAATTTTAATTTCTGAATTTTGCTCGGAGAACTATTTTATTTCATTCTGATAATAATATTATGGCTCTATACATGAATAAATGCATATGTCTTTTATTACTTTGCATTAGATAATTTGTGCTATAAAATTGCTTGTTGCTGGATAATGCTTTCTTTCCTTCTCGTTGCTAAAATTTTTTGCTCAAAAATAGTTGTGTGTATTTAACAAGTTGAAGACTTTGATAAAGAGCTAAATTGGCAGCTACCTTCTTGCAAATTCTCTTTGCGACAGAAATTAGAAAAAATATGTTTGTAGTTTTGGTTCGAAACAAAGTATGGTAGTCTTTCTTGCTGAAGTTACGAACACAGAATTATTAAAATTAAATGTAGGAGTAAATAAAATTCGTTGTTGTATTATTAACTCTATTACAGTCTAACAACAGTTCACAATAGCTGTAGCATCACAATAGCTGTTCTGTAGTATTATATCACATCATATCATTTATAATGAGAAATGCTTTTTGATCTGTTATAGCAATAATTATTTAAGCTTATCTCATTTTAGACAAATCACTGAGTGTGAGTTGTTAATTATATCTGGTGCTAAACATTACTAGGATGACGTATTCATATTTACGATGATACCGGATGTATGTTAATACTTTTATCGAGAAGTGAAATGTTAATGTTCTAGTGCATTATGGACTTGTCAACATGTCTCAAGGAAACTGAGAAATTTCCAAAGTCAGAATGCAAGAAGTCATTATTTCATGCGAGTGTCAGCAAAAGTAGTGAGCAACATCTGATTGATTATTGAGAGAAGAAAGTAGATTGAATAGGATGGAGAGTGTAATGCATATGAAAGGTGTGATATATGCTAAAGTTACCTTCACTCGACTTGTCTGAAGAGTATACGGAAGAAGTTGAGAAAATCGTGAAGATTATAGTTGTTTACATATGACTGCACTGTACGCAGCGCATGTCACGGTGATATGCTCCTTATTGATTTCTGGATATTCTGTTTTGTTATTGAAAAAGTCGTATATGAAAGCAGAAGTTTTTTAGCCTCTTCAGTCTTGATAATTACTTTTTCCTTTTTTCTTTTTGTTTGCTATTTTGTGTGATTATTGTTGTATGCAAGAAAATTTTTAAAATTAATTCGAAATGCTATAAATAATTTGATACATGATGGGATTAATGGCTTACTTTTTTATCATACACATTGCATCATATTGCATGTTTGTCTTTTGCGGCAAGTTCTCATTATCAAAAACTGAATTCCTTCACTGTCATTTATTTGCTTTCATTCATTCTTTTTAAATATTTTTATAGCAGTTTTCGGATGGAAATTCTATATTTTTTCCTTACTACCCTTCATCAATTGCCAGTGATACCATGATCACATCAAATGAAGATGTGAACTATGACGCCAACTTTGGATACTTTGGATTTGAGACTACGTTTTCACCTGCTTTATATGAGCGGATAATTTGCAGTGAACAATCCAAAGAACTGCAAGAGGTACATAAATTAATTTACATATCAATATATTTTTCCATTATTGAAATAGAAATACATGAGAATGAGTGGTTGTAGTTTGCTGAAGTTAAAAGTATATGAGAATAATTTATATTTCTTCATGCCAGTTAAAAAAAAACTATTTTTTATCTGTTTTTTTTCAATATCTGATGTAATTGAACTATAAACATAGTAAAGTTGTGTTAGTTTCAGAAATTGAAATTTTTTCTTTGTTAACAATTCTAGCATTTTTCTAAAATTCTTGAACCAGAGATCATAAAGATTCTTTTTTTTTTCGTATCCTGCTATAAAAACATGCAATTTGAAATTTTGTTACAGGTGCAAGTAGGTTTAGAACAAATGATATTAGAACCCGGTGAATTTGTTACTTGGTCGAATGCTATTAGAGAACGTACCACGTCATTCGGAATTGATACTTTGAAAATTGTCGTCGAAATGATGATTCAACTTGTAAGAATTTTTGTTCGTGTTTTTTTATTTGTGGGCGTTGAAAGTTTCAGTCTTCCTGATATTTTCAGCTTCTGAAATAAGATTTCTTTCAAAAAACTTATATTTTGCGTGAAAATTTTGACAAAACGTACCTAGTGAGGTAGAAAATATGAACCCGTCAAAATTATATTTGCGAAAGTCAAGGGTAAGTACCTAGTTTAAGATTTGCCACAGATATTCGTAAAAATTCAATTGGGATGAAGTAATCAATTAGAGAAATGTGAGTAGGCTATGTAGTATTATTATTTGGTAAAATCTTAATTTGATATTCAATTTTCAGGCAGCTTTCACATCCACCTCACCAACGGTGCAGTATAATTTAGCCAAGCTGTGTTCATTTCTCTGTTGTGATTTCCCTTCTTTTCCGAATGACATGATTGATTGTTTCTTATTTTTCCATCAGGAAAAACGATCAAATTTAAATGATCAGCAACGCCTGAATCTTCTGCTGTTTTTTGCAGAAGTATATGAAAAACTGGAGGCAGTATGTTTTAATGTGGTTGTATACTATGGCCTAATAACTTTTAATTTGATTATTATTATTTTGCGATTTACTGGAGTTCTCGTTCATAAAATTTTTTTAATGTAAGTAATGATTGTCAGATATAGAAAAAAAATTAAAAAAATTTGCAGAATTTTCAATTGTTTACATCGTTGACGTTACAAGGAATGGAAACCGCTGTATTGGAACAGATGCAGGAAATTATATTAGCTGATCGTTTGGATGATTCGAAAGTGAAAGTTGTTGTGGAAGTGCTCAAGGTATTCTGAAAAACATATTCTTTTAATTAAAACAGGATTTCTATCTTGCAGGACAATCATATATAATATAAGTATGTTTTTATTCTTATAAGCGTTTTCACTATTAACTTAAGCTTACCGGCCGTTACTTGGATGCAAATGAAGGCGTTTCAAGAATTAATGAGCTTCTTACTCAGTTGAATGCGATTGCTAAAGCCCATCCAGCTATAAGCGAGTTAGTATTATTCATCTATTTATGTATAAATTCGTTCACTTGAATTTGTGTCATTGTGATTTCAAGTAAGCAGTTATTTGAGTTTTCAAGTTCTAAAAAGAATAATGAGAACATTATAGATGATCATTTTTGTAACTTACTAAATCTGTGTTTCCGTTTTAATAATATTGTAGCTAGCATAAGGTTCGCAACAAGCTGTAGCATCGGAATAATTAAATATAAAATGAGTGTTATTAAACTCAGTTCTTTTTTGCTTCGAGACATCGACCTTTTTCACTACAGCGTTCATGAGAATTTTAAGTGAGAATTTTTTAATTAGAGTGTAAGGTAGTTGGTAAAGTCGTCACTATTAAAAGTTTTTTATTTCTAAATGATTAATTTGTGCACTTTAGTTGTGTTAAAGAACAAATACGGAGTTTAAATACATGGAGAGACAACAAATGGGATGCGAGAAACATTGCGTTTAATAAGGAAGAGAAGCATCAGAAAGAAGTTAGTATGCATATTACATTTGTATCTTTTTTAGGAGGTTCTTATAACACGCCCATTGTTTATTTTAGACCATTTGTTCTCAAATGTTTCGAGATTCAGAGTGGTTAAATTTAAAATTATTGCAGCAGACTTCTGAAGAGAATGACAAGAGTAGCTCACCGTCGTGCTCTAGTGTTATTATTGGTCCTGATGGTCAGCCTCTGACAGAAGAGGAACGCGCTTTTTTAGAAGAAAATATTTGTAAAATAGAAAATGATGATGATGACATAAGCGATGAATATGATGAATTTTTGTCGACAGGTCAGTGTATATCTGTTTCATCTTGAGATGAGCAAACAACAATCCACTCGATGTTGTTTTTGTCAAATTTTTAGTACTTTCTGCTTTTGGTAAACGATGGATTCTGTTAGATATGTTTTCCATATTAAAATTCCAAAAATTGCATTCTGACAAAAAACATTTTCTTGCAGTCGCTGATGAAGAAGCGAAAAAATGTCTAGCAGAAATGGAAGTAGATGGAATAGAAAAACTGATGGCAGTAACTAATTTGAATGATTTGCGACAACATGACACTACTAATATAAAAAAAGACAGAGAGATATGAGAATTGCTGAAAGTAAGGAAAAATTCCATCTTCATCAGTAATTTTATAACAAATATTGCGTTACTTAATTTGTTATCATTTTCTGAAAATTACTTCGAGAAGTATTGAGTTTATTGACTTTTGCATTTTATCAGCTATCAAAACTGTATTTGACATTTATGCAAACTTAATTTTTTCAATTTTATTCTCTGAAGATTTTTACAGTCTTTTCCCGACTTTTTTTCTTGATGGTAATGAATTTTCCTTGCTCTGCTCATAAAAATTGTTTGCACTTTTCACTCTTGTAAAATAGTCGCACCTAAAATACTTTCTGCGGTCTCAATCATTGAAACTTAATCATGAGAGATTAACTCTTATGATTAAATTTTAGGTTTATGCATCCCAAAACCGTTCACTCGATTACATCTGTGATCATCAGCTTTGTAAGACTTTTGTTCGTTTAATGTTCTTACTACTTTATAAGGTTTATACGTCTTGAGTGAATGTGAATCTTAAACATTAAATTAAAATGTGGTTGAGGAAAACGATTTTCCAATAATGAACATCACAAAACTGCCTCGTATATGTATACGTAATAAAAATTCCAACTAAATTTTATTTGCTTTTGTTGAAACTGAACATATTCTTTACGGAATATCAGAGTCACTTAACATATTCTTCACGGCAAATCTATCAAAAGGATCTATTAGCGTCCATATTATCAGCTCTTTTTCAGTTTTTGTAAACCTGCATTGATACTGTTTTATGTATATAAGAACACAAAAAAGATATGTAGTGCGTCCCCCACGCTCATGTCTCATAACTTGTCTTTATCTTTTTCGTAATTTCTCTAAAATTGCTAGTTTGGAAGTTAAATCTTTTACTTTTTCATTATATTTTTTTATCTGTGCATTAAACTTTTGATCCGAACCCTTTTTATATTCTTCAAATTCTTATTGGTTCTTTTAAATTGTTTAAGGTTTATTTTTACTTCCTTGGTACAGTCCATATGTATTTGTTGTCAGTAAACTTTGAATATCGAATGCTGATTCTTGTTCATTGACTGGAATACTCTACGAAACTTATCCAGTCTACATAGGTTCTGATACTCTGCATTATGCAACACAAATAATTACACTTATAATATTTTGTTCTAAGTTATACTTTCACAAACTGGTAATCGCAAATGCGACACAAAGACTAAGAGAGGAATCATTAGGAATTTGCTCTACCAAGAGGAGAAATCTTCCAAAGTTCGTCTTGACTGGACAGCTTTCTTCAGCGGTACAGAGTATGCAGCATCATTTAATGATCGTTTTGTAGAAACAGCTAATTTAGACAGATTGATGTACTTCCCAATGCCAGAACCATATTTTGGTGGCGTCTGAATGTGAATCTCTGTTACTGGTGGAGCAGAGACCTTTTCTAAAAGCAAAGAATATATGGGAATTCATGTGAGGATGATACTGATGTTTAGCATTTTTATACAAATCATGCGTCACAAGATTGTGCCAAACCCAGTATGTCCATTCTTACAAGAATTCATTTCAAGTCACTGAGTAGAGGTTATTACTTTCTTAACAAGAACATTACTTAAAATCCAAAAATAAGGCCCCAAACTCTAACCATCTTGTTTTCCAATTTTTTTCAAACGAATTTCTTCTCTCTCTTTGATTATCGAAGCTTCAGCTTCTTCAAATGGATCAACGAAAATTTCGGCAGTAAGGAAAATCACATCGACCTGGAACTTTCTTCATATTTACATGTATGAACGTAAGTAAATTACTGCTCACAACTTCCAACTCTTATTTAGAAATAGTTCGAAAATATAAAAAACTTACCACCGGACGGTCATTTCTGTCAGTTTCTATCATCTCAATTGCGTTCATGGTTGCAGTACCTCCAACTACACGTCCAAAAATAGTATGTTTTCCGTCTAGATGCTTACATGATCGGAAAGTGATGAAACTAAAAATAATACATTTAAAGATAAGAAATAAGAATCGTTAAGCTTATACTGATTCAGTAAAAACTATAGGAGCCAAAGGTCTTTATCCTCAATAGACCACAAAAAATTTGTCTTCAATTATAGAATCTTCATAACTTCACTAATCTATATTTAATTCTGTAAATTCAAGTCTCTTCTAAAAAATTGCGAATCCCTACAACTGAGATTTATTCGTGTCCGTTCCCTGATTTGCCATGCTCAATACACCACGTCGATCATGACTGAATGAATGTACGATTTCATCCTTGAAAGGCTTTCCCCAAATAGAATCTCCTCCTTGACCAGTGTTTGTGGGGTCTCCTCCTTGCACCTAAATTAAGAAATTTATAGACTAATATATGCGTTGGTCAAATGCGATATTGTGATTACGTTTAGGACATGTTTATTAGAAAATATTAAATCTAGTTAGTTTAAAAATAGATACATTTTTGACGCACAATTATTAAAGCAGTGAGAATTCTGACTATACCATAAAGTTCCGTATAATCCGATGGAATTTTGTATTATTATAGTAACCCATTTTGCAGTGCTTAATGAAGTTCTCACATGCCTTCGGAGTTTGTTTACAATATAATTCAAGATTCAATTCACCATAATTGGTTATGATTCTAATATATCCATTCTTTGTAACTCTCGCATACCTGGAATCGAATAAAGAATTCAATAATTCAGAATTAATTGAAATGTCAACACTTAATTTGATACGAAAACACTGTCCGATATCCTTATCATTATGCCACATTTCTTTAGTCTGAGCAATGTAAAGGAATATATTCGGAAAATTGTTACAAAACTGACTTGACTGTATCTTCATCAAGTATAGCAGCTTTGTGCTCAGTCAGAGGTTCCATAGTCGTGGATGTTAGTCCCGCAGCTACACGACCTTGACTATAATGCGCTGAATTCAGCTCATCTGCTGTCACTTCTTTCTCTTCTATTCGCTTCTAAATGCTAATAATAGAGAGTAAGAAAAATTTGATGCTTGAAAGAATAAAAACTGTTAGACATATGAAAGGTGAAACTATGACAAAAAATATCACAATTAGCACTAAAAAAAGATTATTTCATTTCACATGAAAAAGTAATTGAACTTACTGGTGGAACATATTCTTTAGCAAGTCTTTCCAATGTTTCTTTAGTTTCATTATTCATTCGTCGAATATAGAATTTGGGGTCTTGCAGGGCTTTCTTCTCATTCTCGACTTCTGACTTCGTTTTTAAATCTAGCTTCACGTGATAAAATTGTTCAATGTTGAATTTTTCTAGATGATTAGGATCCTGAACTTTACGTACGTTATAACAAATGACCAGTAATTTCTAGTTTTACTACACTTTCGATATAAGCTTCCGGAATATGCGGAAAATTAGGCTGAATAAAATAGTATGCTAAAAACCTTTTTATAATTGTCATGAAATTTTAGATTAATTTAAAAACCTGTAATACTATAATATCTTTTCGCTGAAATGGTTCATCAGTTAAAAGATCCTTCAAATGTCCAGGCTTTAAATTTAGCTCCTCAATAGCTTCAAGTGAATATACATTTCCTGTTTGACGTATAGCTACAATATGACTTGTTGGAGTGAAAACACGGAACATCACGGGACATTGAAAATTACCTGTAATACAACCTGTATTAGAGTATTCTATTTACAAAAAACAACTGACTAAAAAACATAAATTTCGAAAAACAAATTCCATATGAAATTTGAAAACTTTTTTTTTCACAGCTAATTCAGTCTTTTTTTTCGACAGTCAGCAATGTTCTATCAAGAACATATGATTTGCATAACCAGTAGGAAGCAATATATCACTTTTGCTGAAACAATATACACCATTATTTTTATGCTTTCCATTCATGAGAAAAGATACCTTCTCTATCTTTGTCGAATTTCAAATGGATCAGTTCTTTTGCTGCCAATTTATGACCAGTTACAGGATTTACACCATATTTCTTTATATACGGGACGATAGTTCTAAAAAAGGCCTCTATTAACTAATCTCAGAGCTGAAAACCAAAAATAATAGGATCTATAGTGCTTTTATTCACTCACGTGTCTTTTCTAACTTTTAATAGTTGAAGAAAGTTTTAAAATACTTAGGCGTAAGATCATGTCAAAACAAACGTAAGATCGAAAATGATCCCATCACTGGAACAAACTGGATCCTCAAATGGCAACAAAGATAATGCGCAATGTGTAAATGGCAAACGTTTGAATATTGCACGCTGTATTCGCTTATTTATATCTATAAAAATTCTCGATTTTACAGAAATAATAAATTTTTTTGAACTCACGAACCGCAACAAAGAGTTGTAGAAGGATATCACATTCAAAATAGGATCTCAATTCAGTAAAACCTGTCAATAAAAAGAAGTTTTCCAAAGGTTTAATTTAAAAGGATTTACTTAAAGATAATCCCACACTGCAAAGAAATTTCAAAATAGAAACTTATTATCTTCGAATTATGACAAATTTCTGATGAAAAATACCATCTTTATGTCCACCATATGTTTCTTTCCATTCTGTAGTTGTGAGATATCTGAAAATGGAAATGCATGTGAATAAATACTAGGACGATTCAATGATGAAATGAAACATCAAAATTAGAACCAGATCACTGAAAGGGATATCAATAAATAATGGCCAAGAATAAACTAAGACAATAATCTGTAGTCTTCAAATATGACTTCCTTAATTTTCTTATGCTACGTTGATAATTTAACTAATCTATACCCAAAAAAATCTTGACCATTCTCGTATTCCAACCATTAATTCCAGTTCTTTTTTTGAAAAAGAGAAAAATAGCTAAATATTTGTATTCAGTTAGATAACAAAACTTTAACTGCCAGAAAAAAGATCATGACATTTAAGATACGTAGCTTGTTAACATTAGAAGGATCTTCTAATACAAGTTTTGTTACAGCTGATTTTCATTTGCAATCGCAAAAGATAAATCGAGAAAGATGTTGAAATTAAAACTATATGAAAAGTAAAGTAGTTCCCAGAACTTACAACTTGTCTTTTTGATGTTGTTTTTTGCCCATAAATGAATTACGCTGCGGTTTCCTAGAACCTTAGCTCTGAAAATTATAATCAACAGCAAAGGAAAACTAAAGATTTTTTTAGTAACAGACATTTCAATTTTCTAGTACAATTAATGAATTTAATCCTAAAGTGTCACTATCAAATTTTATGCTTCCTAATATTAAAGTGCGATATTGACACAAACATCAAGTTCTAAACTCCTAATTTACATAAAAAAAGATCGTCTCACTTATGGTAAGCATTGCATTACAAAATGACCTCCATAATCGCATTGTGGAAATTATTTGCAACACATTGCGATACAACTCGTCTCATAGAGACAAAAATTTCGTTGCGGAATTCTAGATGTTGTAGATGGCAGTCCAGAAGTTTGCCATGCTGAAATGAGTTACAATATGTGATGAGACGAGTGGATTGTGATTTTCAAACCAAATATTAAGTTTTCGAGAGGAAATTCGATCCTATGTTATAATACATTAAATTTTCGCATTACTTCAGTATTTAAATGAGTGGTAAACAGTATCGCTGAGTAAATACAGTAATACAACTTGTCGTAGAATATATCACAGTGACAACAATAAAAACAACATTACTTAGGAACAATAATCTTCTTATGTATTTCAGTGTGATGGATTTGATATGCTGTTGTAGTATGTTAAGATTCCTGGCATTTGACATTCCTCCTAACCTGACTTTGGAGCTCCCGTACGTTTTTCACAATACTTATCCTTTTTCTATTATTTCTGTCTTCAACATAGAGCCCATTAATGCTTTCAGAACTTTACAGCCGCTCATTAAAGATGAAGAAATTAAACGCCGACTTTCCATCGGAATTGTAAATTTACTAAGCTTTTGTGAATGTCAGTGTAAGAGCTCACTGAGCGGAATTTTTTCTAATCACGAATGTGTGTAGGAATTTGAATTTTCGAGCTAGCTTACATCAGTTTGATATGAAAAATATAAGACAGGTAGTAAACTATTGAAGAAATGGAATGAAGTACTAAGCAATGTGCAACTCTACCCACCTCTTACACAGAAATATATTTATAAAAATGCAATAAATTCTGCATTGTAGCATAAGCAGTTTCCTCTGGCTTCAAGCAGATATGCTTCTGGCTAACTTTTCATGACAGTTTATGAAGAGAAACTATTTTTCTGCCACACTTTCAATTTTTATGCCTTGTAGGTCCAGTTTATATTAGGATAAACAGATATCTGCTTTAACTTCAGTGAGTGCAAGTGTACTGATGCTTGCAAAATGCTGAGTTCCAAGAATCAGTTACTTCTTGCTTGAGTTGCCTCATTCCAGGTATACTAGGAAGTTTGTAAAATTAAACTCGTGCTTATTAGGAACATGCATGCTGAGAATCATTCATTCGCGTATTGTTAAACTTCTGACGAACGTCTATTATAAATATGCCGTACTTTTTAGACTACTAAATTACCGTGTTTCTATCAAAATATTTTTTGATAACTGATTCATGAAATCAGAACAGGCACAATGAAAGCTGACGCTACAGTGACTGTTTACATATTTCTGGAAAGTTCAAAAGGATTCATTAAGGACTTATAGTGTGCTTCAGGAATGAGTAAAGCTTATACGAGACCTGATTAATTCACGTCAATATATTTCAGACATTGGAATGTAGTAATGGCTCAAGAAAGAATAAATTGCAGGTTGATTGTGAGAACAAACTGCAATCTTGGGCAATATTCTTTTGCTCAGTGGTTGATAATTTGCTGTTTGTACCATTATTTGTCAAGATAATCATGACAAAAATGCAAACGGAACATTTGTAGAACGCATGACACGAATACATAAGAAAGTACAATGCAATCACTCATATAAAAATAAATCAGCACATCACAGTGTATTATGAAAATCAAAAAACGCCCCAATTTCTACTTATGATCATCTTATACTTATTTCCAAAGTCTCACACACAACAAATCCTCAAAATTTTTTTCAAAGCAATTTAGATTGCACAATATTTTGTATTTGTTTCGTGTCATTGGACACTTATTGATCAAATCAAAAAGTAACACCCAAATGAGTACTTTACAAAAGTGCAATATAATTTTAAAACAGGAATAATGAATACTACATTTATAAATATATATATATATGTATATATATTGCATTCACAATCCATGGAACTTGAATCAAAACCTAAAGAAATGATTCATAAGAAAACTAGTTGTTTTAAAAAAATAAATTTATAGTTTTATGAACACCAAATTATTATTTTGCAACATTTTATTTTAGTGTGAAATACTCACACATAAATTAATTCACATACATTAATGTATATTTTTATTTTTGAATGCTGATCATAATCAAATCCAAAAACTATGATACATTATTTGCGACCAGAACATATTTTCAAGTACCCGGTTTCTCACTTTACTTTCTCTAAAACAATAGCGACACGACATGGAATGTAAACACACACATGATTCCGTCGACCAGCATACCCTTCAGGGAAGGTGAAGTAATGCAAATTTTTATTTAATCGATTAAAACCACCAAATTCTGGATCATCACTGTTTAAAGCCAATGTATACCTAAAAAATTTATTATTAATATATATTTGTCAAGACAAAGAACTTTCTGTTGTCCTGACAAGCTTTATGAAAGCTGCAAGGTGACCGATAATTACAAGCCAAGTATATAATGAAATACATTATCTTCAAATACAATCTAGTTATTCATTTTCCAGTTAATAATTGAACTCAGTTATTGATATTTCCACGCAGCAATTTTCTATCCAACAATATGTCATGTGCGACAAATAACTTACTCTCCTGCAACTTCTATACCGATTTTGTAATCCACAAAACTTTTAGATGTATGAAAATTGAAAACAAATAATAGACCAGCGCGCTCAAATGCCACAACTTTATCGTCTTGATGCTTCCAGGACGTGTAACCCTATAAAATCAATACCTTAATTCCGATCATCACATCCATTTCACTAGAATATAGATTTAGAATGCAACATTTTTATATCTTTTCACTGTGAAATAAGCTGAGTATAGGAATTATTCGATCTAGTATTTTAAAAAAGCTGATACGTTTTATCCTTTTTTGTTTAATTTATTTCTATGAAGCAAATATTTGAAATGAAATGAATCCATACTGGTCCACGTGACAAGAAATGATGTTTTTCTTCCAGTTCGTTCATAGCACGGTCAAAATTATTTAAATATTTGTAACGTAGGAGTTCATTATCAACCAAATGCCATTGTCTTCGACAATAATGATACGATTCGTTATTACCGACACGAGGAAAATCAAGCCATTCAGGATGGCCAAATTCATTACCTTCAAGGAATTAATAAACTCAATATTTGAAAATTAATCTGATAATTAAAGAACTTTCACTAGATGTAATTATTCAATGCAAGAAGTAAATAGCAATTATATATCATCAACAAATTAAGCTAATCAAACGACACTAATTTCTATTTTTCACTCACCATTAATACATAATGAAGCACTTTTTCATCATTTTTATTATTAGTAATTCAGAAATTAATTTCATATACGACTAATGATTCTGACCTAAAAAAAAACAAAAAAAAACAGAAACATCAATTAACAAATTAAAATAAAAACTTTACCGATAAAATTCAACCAAGCTTCACCACCCAATCCATAAGTGATTAAGCGAATCATTTTATGGAGAGCAATGCCACGCTCAATTATTGATGTCAGTGGAGTGGTTTCGGACATAAAATCGTACATCTCTTAATATCAGTAATCAGGGAAGGAATTTTATATCAGCAATTGAAAAAAAAAGACTAGAATCATCAACAGTTTGGAAGCAAAACAATTTCAGTAATAAAGGCGATCAATTTTAATGTTTGCTACTTGAAATACGATGCTACTATGCCGAAAAAAATCACATGAAGCCCTGTTTTTCATGTTTAAATAATTCTAATTGCAGTTAAAAAACCAACATTTACAGCAAAGACAAAGTAAACCTACAAGTAAGCAGCAAACAGGTTTTGGAATATGTCACTTAAGTCTATTTTGAATGTCTATTACGAACAATTTAAATCATAATAATAGAGCGGAAAAAAATTTACCTTTGTCCATTAACCAGAAAGCAATGGTTTTATCCCCAACAAGAGCTTGATCATGTGACTCAGCATATGCAACGTTTTTTTCACCATATCTGTTATTCATAAATATATCTAACTTGGATAAATTAGAAATTTAATCCATCTTGTTGAAGCTGCTACTTTAAACAGTAAAAAAAATATATTTTAAATAGTAAAGGAATAATTAATATCCAATATCTTAAAGCCATGAACTTGCCTCCTATTTTCCAAAGTAAATACTAAGCTTGAGATATCCCAGTTTTCATCCGATGAATGCTTCAACAGTTTAATCCACATATCCGGTAACGCCATTGCTAAACGATAGTCGAACCCCTGCCCACCTTCCTCGACAGGTCGACATAACGCTGGCATACCACTAACTTCCTGAAATATAAAAAAGTGAAACACAAAGTTTAAAAAAATTTAATTCGTTCGCAAGTAAGTTTTTCAAATATAAAATTCTAAATTATTATTTTTATTTTAGTAGAAACTGAAAAGACGAACAGGTAATCGAGAAACTACCGCAGTCAAGCAAAGGAAAAGGAATCAAGTTTTTGTAATCTCTCGTACTCTAGAATTTACGTACTGAGCAAATCTATATTTCACAAAGCTTATTTTAAAATTACCATTGTTTTTTAATAATAAAACCACGAAATATTCTACTTCTATCAAAACCTTCCCAAATAATCAGTCATCTAATCTTCTGACTTGGCTTCAAAATATATGTAAGCGCAAGAAACGGTGCTCATAAGCAATACACAATTTAAACATTTATATTTACACTAATAAGAAATTTTTTAACTAACTTCGGCAATTGTGACCACATCAGGAAATCTGAAGTGCAGAAACGAATTTGCAAGCATCAAGTAAACAAGTGATTCGGTATCAACATTTAGACCGAAATACATCGAATAACCACCTTCTAATGTATCAGCTGAAACAATATCATTCTCTTTTATTTCACTAAAGCAATAAATCATAAAAACAAAAGCATTTCAGGAACTTTTCAGTGAGTTTTGTACAGATTAAGAAACTAGTAAGATTAATGCCCTTCATATTTCTCATTTACTGTCAATGAACTAGAAGAATAAAGAAAAAAAACTTCCCTCCGGGTTAATTTGAAATTTCTAATTCAATATAAAATAATACGTAGAATTGAGATATTTTACTGTTACCTTCTTCAAAAAACTACTTGTTGGACCAATAATTCCCACTATGCAGTGACAAAAATTTTAAATTTTTTCTTTCACTTATCATACGTACATAGAAACTGCATTTTTTTAAATGAGAAACTCGAATTCCGGAAAAAGTGACTTCAGCAATTTAGAAATACTAAGAAAAGCAATCACTGACATTTAGACCTTTGTTTTATTTTCTAAACAGAACATGTAACGAAAACTGCACAGAAAGCTCATGGTGAAAAATATGTTTAAGCGTGCAATTTAAATTCAGAAAACAATAAACTACCAATAAACATTGATGTTTAATTACAAACACGATCAACAATTTTCTAGATATTTTCATGGAGTTCCATATGTCTGATATGAAACAACTTAACACTTCAATATTTTGTATTACCTAAGTAGTTCAGTTGGAATGAACAAACTTTGAAACAGTATTATTTATGGTTGCTTAATTTTAATGGACTTTTGGTTATTATAGAAGTGACAACGGTCAAAGATAAGTGTAAGTAATACTCACAAATTCCATGGGAATGATAAAGCATTGATGTAACACCATCAAATCGAAATCCATCAAAGCCATATTCTTCTATCCACCAACGGAGGTTTGAAAGCAAGAAACGCAAAGTTTCAATTCTATAGCGACAAATTTTATTTTGTTTTGCTTGCATGCTAACCTATACTAAATATTAGAAACTACCGAACGCATTTAACAACACAAATAATTTGAAATATTGCATCTTACATCGAAATACTAATGTTTTTGAGAAATACCTCTTCACTTACTGTGTGTAATCAAATAGTCGAGAGTCCCAAAGACTATGATATCCACGAATATTGCCATGAAAGTAACTATTACGAGTGCCATCCCATTCATTCAGTCCATCATCTACATTTTTTGATGCATGAGAATGTACCACATCAAGCAATATTAGGATGCCTGCTTCATGTGCCTTATCCACAAGATATTTTAAATCTTCAGGTGTACCGCAACGACTAGAAATCGAGCGAAAAACATTATTCTCAAAATCATCATAAACTAAAAGGTTAGTGAATGAAGACAAGTAATTTTTAACAGGCATAATGAATGTGCTCCATTAACTCACCCAAGAATAATGCAGTCAGATCGAAGTTCATGAAATTTAACGCAGGAGAGAGAGAAATATTATCCTATAAAAGTATTTAAGAGATGAAACCTGGCTGGTGCGAAAAAGCTTGTGACCTGATAGCCAAAACTGGCGTAATAAACATGTTCCATAACGGCCATTAACTGAATAGTATTATAACCTATAAATCGTATAATTAACACTCAGACACAAAAAGTCAAGAAGCAAGATCAAGAATTTAGCATAAAACATTTGAATAAATCACCTTGCTTTGTGATTCTTGGAATTACTTCATCTGCAAAATTTTTATATGTATTGACTTTTCCTTCCCAACTGGAAATTCCGACATGCGCTTCATAAATTCGCAAAGATCCAGGCTTCTTAGGTCTTGCATATTTGAAAAAATAACGATCGGTTTTGGGAGGATTATAAAAAGGCTGCAATGCAAAAATACTGCAAAAGTAAAATTAATATCATTGAATATTATGGGAATACACTGAAAAATACTTCGCCATTTACTACACAATGTTACGACTGCATTTCGTTTATAAATTTCAATTGTTCTCCAACGAATGTTTTAAAATTCAAAGTTTAGTTTATCGTATTATTTCATCTAAAAAATGAAAAACTTCAGTAATTCACCATATGGTAAAGTGTTGTTTCTTTTGGACGAGTTACATATCGAGCCCAAGGAGATAACTTGAAACGATAAACACCATTTTTTTTAACAGCTACCTAAAAAATGTATGAAACGGTATTTGGATATTGCTGCAATCAAATTTAAATAAGCTTGAGTAATTAATATTAATCGCAATTTTCGCAACTTTTTATGAGCACCGATTCAGTATACTGGGAAATTTTAACCTAAAATGTAAATAATGTTCAATATTTAATTGGTAATCGCAGTACAAATACAATCTTTTTTCTACGACTACTATGGGTGATACCTTGACAATTGATCCATGTTCTATTGGACAGGTACCATCATTATCAGCTGAAATAATCAGCTCCCATTTTCCGTATTCTAATTTTTTATATGGATGACGTTCCGTATCCCAGTCATCTAAAGATATAAAGTATAAATGTAAGCCTTTGAAATCAACACTCGTGAAACAGACTGATTTTGAATCCTGATTTTGAAAACGGTAGATAATCTGCAAAATGTCTCAAAAAATTTGATATAATTGGCAATTGTGTGATATAAAAACAAAATTTTTACATAGAAGTTGAAACAAGATTTTTGAATCTGTCAAGTTATGGAAATCGAATCACTTACTAAAATCTCCTACTAACGATAAGGCTTCAGCACCAGGAGCCCATTCTAGACAATGGACTGAATTATCTTCCATCACCAAAATTCCATACTCATTATAAGCTGATGTGAATTTTTCCCATCCACCACACTAAATATTCATTAAATTCTAATTATACAGAAACATGCATATGGTCTTCAAAACTTCAACTACATTTTAACTTCAATTTAGAAATTGTACCGATAAAATCAACTCAAAAAATTTTGATTAATACATGGTTCTTTAACATTTTGTAGCAATAAACGAGTTACACCTAGCATTATTTCATTAGCAATCTGCAAACATAATCATTAATGAAAGAAATGGAGGTAACTTTAAAATTCAAGTAACCTGTTCAATTTTTTGCGAATACTCAAGAAACACTCCATATCTACGACAAATTTCGCTTTGATGATTCCACAAGTATCCATCCAATTTTAGCAAAGTGTCTAGTTGAGGTGGTCTATTATCGTTGCAATCCATTAATTGCTTTTCTGTAATATATCATTTATTTTCAATTTATCAACAATTGCCAGTAACATTGTTCGCTTTGTTTAATGCTAACGCAAAATAACCATTTTTTAGACGAAAGAACAATGAGTGAATTGAATGATGTGAGTATCATGAAATATGTTACTGAGCAGTAAAACTAGTAGCGATCAGCTTTCGATAAATAAAAATCATCTCATCAATCATAATTTTCAATTTACAGCAACGAAGAAAGATAAACGAGAATGGCATTGTGCAAAGATGAAAAACCGAATAAACTTGAAAAGAAAATTCTTCAAAACGCTAAAGTTCAGGCAGAATTTGAAGTTTAATGTATTTAATAGAGTATTAATAATAGTTCTTTCTTTAGATAAGTGTTCGTAGGTCTGTGTTGATATAATTAGCAGTATTTGATAACCAGTGACAAATTAAACAAATGCATTTTACAGCATAAAATAGATGAACAGATAGATTAATGTATTATGCATTGGTTAAACTGAACAAAAGCATTACACATGAGTAAACGATGGATGAATTTGATCGAAACTGAATCACATAACCAAACTTTTATATCTAATATGCAAATATAGAAGAACTGCGGAAGCAATGGGAACAAATGAGTACCTTTCTCCATACCATATATTTCACTTTTACAATTTCAAAATTTTTTCGAAAGATTCAGGATATTTTTATCTAATCAGTGAATAATCATCAACTCAGTATGCTGCTGATAACAAGCAACAAGGGGTGATTAACTGAAAGGAAGCACGGTGGGAGAAATAAAATGCTCTGTTGTTTTGCTGCTGCTTTTAGTTTCTCTTTACCGAATAGTAAATAAGTTTATAAAACACGATCAAAAATACTTATATTATTGATTGAGTTATGACAAGTTAGTATCATCGCCAGTGTTTTCCAACCAACAACATTTCCAATTAAAATTGCAATGAAAATTACACAAAGTTTAAAATTATGACTGAGGTATTTATAAATTCTAATACTATTATTGCTGGTAGCACTAAAAAAAGCAAAGCTACCAAATTATAATTGACCCCCAATGTATGGTAATCATCGTTGTTTGTTGCTTACCAATCAGTTGATAAATGTGTGCATAAATTCACAATGAACAATTTTAAGTAAATCAAAATATTTAAGTATTTTCGCAGCATTTGCAATCATTTATGATTGCAGCACTTAACGATTTATTCAGTGCGTCATTACTCTTCATATCATTCTAAACATTAATTATATGTAAATATCAATTACTTATTTGTAACAGTCATTCATGATCGTTACTATCTTTTATATACATTAATGTAGAGAAGAGCAGTTTACTGCGTCATAAATACTTCTACAATATTGCAATGAAATACTATTGCATTACAAAATTGCATTATTATGTTAACTGCAGGCAAATAAAACTGCACTGTATTGCGAATGAAAAGTAAATAAGGCGAAAGTTTATTCAAGTAGCAATTGCTGATTGCATGGATCATTTTGAATTTACACATATAATGAGAGAAATATTTCAAAAAATGTGAATTTGGAAGTGAGAATTAAAATAATTAAAGCACAAGAAGGAAGTAGGAGTGAAAGTAGACAACTTTGGATTGTGCGTTTAATAACTGCAGTACAAACAGGCGCTGCTACTGCTCTTTTCCGGTAAGTTAGCAACAAATGCGAACTCCATTTCAACTGCACACATTAATTTTCGTAAGACAAGGCTGAGTATTATATTGTTGCTGTGGAAGCATTTTTATTCCTTGCTACAGCTTGTTGTGAAGAAGTGAACAATTACAATACATGTCTATAATTTGTTTGCAATTACAATCTTTCGAGTTTAAAATAAATCCATTAAACGGGCAATGGATTTAATTATTACCTGCAATAATGATAATTCACTCCACACTATATGATATTCATATCTTTACTGCATTACTATTTTTTAAACATTCTTACATTTTTATTTCATGTCGAAACCTGAAATTTGCATACGCTGAAGGCAATTCTCATATTCTTAATCAGAGCATTTTTTTTCTTTTGCTATTATGTGTGTGGTTTTCACTTCTTAGCGTTTGCGTGCACATATTTGCTTATTTACACGTATTCTAGTTTATTATGCACTTTTAAAAGTGGAAAAATAAAATGAGTTTACTTTAAAATTAGTTAAAGTTTAAGTCTAATTTCTGATAATTTCATGCATTTATAATTGGTCTTACGGTGCTATTTTTTGTTAACAATGGATCAATTGTAGCACTTACCGACTGCCTGAGTGAATGACTGAACGAGTGAGTGACTGAGTCAACAAGACCAAAAATAAAAATATTTGATCATTGTATTCCATATTACTGTTCTTACTGCAGCCGTTAATTACACTTTGCCTGCTCATTTCATTATGTCTGAAATGATAATATTTCGTAGGGTGCTTGCAGATTCGTTTGTGAGTGTTGGGGCGAACAGCAGTGCTGACGTCTCATATACCCATCGAATTTCCTGTTTTCTGTTTAAATATGCTTACCTACTTGCTTTGATTTTGTTTTAGTGCTTGCTAATTTGGTAGCACTTATTACACTGTAAATATTCCAAGTCTCTGAACGCTCGTGGATTCACGTAACATACACACCTCACTTTATTAAAGTACTTGAATCTTTCCATATTTGTTTTTTTCTACGTCTTTCATTACTGTACATTTTATACGCAAAATGTAATCGCTTATTAGTGATGAAATGAATAAATAGCGCTGAATTATAATTTTTGGTCTGTATTTTAACTAGTTAATGTGCTGTAATTTTGATCTCAAAATAATTTTTGTTTGCCTAAAGCTATTATAGTGTCAATTCATTGTTTAATACTCTTATTGCTAGCTGATTTATGAGGTCTGACCAAAGATTTTTATTATCTTGCTTATCAGCTCATATCCAGAAATATTTGTTTTGTCGTTTAATCTGTAAATTATTGTTAAAGATTGAAACCTTGCAGGTTTACTATGATACGCAAAGTATTCCGCATGATTTGACGTGAGAAAAATAGATCGAAAGACACTGTCATTACTACAACACCTTTAACATTGGTGAGCGTTTTTGTTTTCTCATCACAACTTTGAAAATTTAGTATAGATCATGTGCTGGAAATAATATTTGGGTCGCAGCAATTCCTGATTCAAGTTCAAAATCTGGGTTCTTAAAACACAATTACCATAGTATTTACTGGACTGGAGTCTTGCATTTGGATTAAAAATTTTCACAGTGGATATTTCATTCCTCAATAATACTTGACAAAATCGCCATTACGGAAGTAATAAATGTCTTGTGAGAATAATGCATGATTCGCTCAATATCATGTAATATTTATGTAATTTTCCATAAACAGTGTGATGTCTTTGTTGATTATATAGAGTGAGAAATATGAACGATTTTTTTGGTCACCATTGGAAAATGTGATATCCTTACCCTAAATTGTTACCCTTCATTTCTTGCTGTTGCTGCTTGCTTTCAAGTAGGCATAAAAAGCGTCAGAAGGACCATTTAATCATTTTCTATATGTTTCATATGCAATTTTTGAAAGCCACACTTTGAATTAGAATGAGGATTAATTAATCATTTTAACTTTTTACTACATGGATTTGCACAATTTTTCTAAATGGATATTTTATGCACGTTTTCAGCTGATAAATGTCGAGAATAAGATTAACGGTTTAATTTTTCCGTAGCATGAAAAATTCATCTATAATTTCTGATTCTCCTAAATCAGCAGTTATTTTTTGGTGAAACTACAAAGTTTTGCTTGCTATGTATTGTCGGAACAATTTCAGGTGAACTAAAGTGCATGAAGAAAAAATTAATCGGATAATGACTGGAAGCTGTTTACACTTATCACTTAAACAATTAGTTTGGATTCTTATGCCTGCGATATGTGCTTATTTGATCATTGGTCGATCACTTATTTTAACTAGGCATCTAATTTTTATTTAAGCAATTTAGAGTTACAGCGTAGTTGAATATGTAAATTGCATCGTAAAGTCCAATACATAAAACCAAAAAAGCTGGTAACCGTTAAAAAATTTTTGTATCTAATGAGATTGCCTGATATCTTTGATAGAAGACATGATTTGATTTGTAAAACATAGATAATGCTAAGTTTGAGAAAAATGATTTAGAAAAACTGAAGAGAGTGGTGCTAAATTTGTTCAAAATGATCATGAAGTAGTACTGAAGCAAACAAGGTTTGTTTGTTCGTTTTTAAATTCTCATTTAGTTTCTAGTAATATTTAGTTGGCTTTTTTATTTATAAAATCTAAACTGTGACTAGAGGTCAACTTTAAATGGTGTGGGAAGTATCTTGTTTCAAAATATAATTTAAACTCTGCTTTTTTTTATATCACTTGGTATTGATGTACAGCGAAATAGAACGAAAAACATAATGATATCAGATAGAGAAAATCAATCCCTTATTGAAGATGTCTCGTCTTTTGTTAAACTTGAAAAGAGTTGGTTGAATAATGGATCTAATGATCCAAAAAGAATTTGTCCAGCTCCTGAACACAACAAAAAGCTCAGTAAGTTAAATTTAATCTTTTTGACAGCTGATCATTAAGTTTCTTATAAGAAATTAGACAAATGTTATGACGACTGAGTTGAATTAGTAATTTTTTGCTTCTTTTTATGCAAAACTTGCTCACCCAAAACAGTTGATAGCTAAAATCTATTACTGTTATAGTTGGGCATTTGTCTCAAGCCGTGCTGTTGATAGCTAACTTGAAGGAAGCTGAAGTTTTGAAACATCATCCTCAAATAAAACCGGGTGGGCGTTGGAAGCCAGAAGATTGCATAGCTGTACATAAAGTAAATATTTCGTTATTCTCTCAGATAAAATATATTATTTAAGGAGCACAACATTTAAGTCCAAATAACGTTTAAGCCCCATATGAATTTGTTAATTTTTCATCTCTAATCGCGCAAATTCAGTATCCTTGTTCGGAAATTTTTTTGAATAATTACGGTTTTCGCCAGTGGTTATGAATTGAAATTCTATAATTTTTTGCTTATTTTTAACTTCAGGGCTTCATAATTTGCTCTTTTAAAACTGGTTGCACTTTACTAGAACTATTTTGCAGATAGCGGTTATAATTCCATTTCGAGACCGCCAATCACATTTGACTCGTCTTATTGATTTTCTTATTCCAATTCTTCGAAGACAGCAACTAGATTTTCGATTCATTGTCACGGAACAGGTATGAGAGGTAATAAATTATGATGGATAAAAGGGACGCAATGATTTTCGTATAGAAATAAATTCCTGGAAATTATATGCAGTCACTCGTCACTATATATTAATGAAACATAAATAATCGGAGTTAATGAGTCAGTTATTAGTTTAATACATAATATTGCACGGATGTTTCCTGTTCGAAAAGTATGTTTTAGTATGGAAATAACTTGTTCAACAAAGGACGAATCATGAATGCAGCATTTCGATTAGCTGAACAACTTAATGTTAGCTGCGTTATTTTTCATGATGTTGATATGTTTCCTCAAAATGATCACAATTCCTATGGTTGTCCACCAACACCACGTCACATTGGTGCTTTTGTGAGTAACCTCGGATACCAGTAAGTTTTGTTGTTCTTTAATAAATTGACTCATAAAACATCTTTGACAACTGCGAAGTTATGAGCGTATGGAAATACCATTTAGGAATTATATGAATTAGATTTTAGATTACATTTTTATTTCCAAAAGTATTACTTATTACATTAAATCCTAACCATCAGGATTTGGTTCTTTAGAGTTTGTTTCTATATTCTTTAAATATATTTAACAGCTACCAAAATTTTGGAAAGGAGTGACAATAGATTATCAAAGGAATTAATGTTTGGTAGAATATGACCGTCTTTGCAATATTTGTAGTTCTAATTTTGTGGTGGAAAGTGTAGTTCTACTCCTCGGTGCCTGAAATGCGCCTCATCAGAATTAGGCTTGAAATACATTGTTTGAAACCAGAAATGATGAAGTATTGGTGCAGAATTGAAGCACTAAGATGAAATGATCTGTAGACAAATTCACTTCAGTGAAATCCTATTAAATTGTAATCTGTAGATTATGGTATAGAGAAATAGTTGGTGGCGTCTTAGCAATTAGTATGGATGATTACCGAGCAGTAAATGGATATTCAAACATGTATTGGGCCTGGGGTGGAGAGGACGATGATATGGGTAAGAGTGAAGATGCTTTTTCCATTTACCGTTTTTTGTGTGAAAAAGAACTCAAAGATCTTAAACCATAGATAACATCCGTTTATTTTATGAACATATGAATGTGAATGAGTTTATGACTGTGGTAACTTGAACGATATATCTGCATTATCTCTAGAAAATTTTTTTCGTGAAAACATTTGGTTTTTATGAACTTTGTTTTAAATGAAAGTATTCAGCTGATGCCTGAATTTCTATAAATTGAGTGAATTATTACTGCAGGAAAACGGATAATAGCCCAGAATTTAACTATTGAAAGGCCTGACGTTATAACTGGACGATTTACAATGTTGAAACATTTGAAAAGAAAGCGAATAGCATCAAGATTGATGTAATTTCTTTGCTTTTAGCACTCATATCAGGCAGTATGTTTCTCTCGTATAGTAATTACTTCAGTGTTGGTAACAATTATTTGTATAATAATTTGCTTACAAGATAACCAGGTTCTAACCCCAATTTTTACTCTTTTTTTGCAAAAAATGCAGCTGTGTATAATTAGAAGTCTTTTGTTACAATAAATTAAAATACTTCGCTAAAAGTTACGCTCTCTACAAATTTTTTTTGGAATGATTCTTTAATACTTATTCGAAAATAGGTAGACGGAGCTTTTTAATTATTAGTTTCATGTAGTATTGTGAAACCATGCGATATGGGTTAAATGTCTATCTTCGGTTTCAGATTCAAATTATTAGATAATGCTGAAACGCGCTACCGTACTGATGGATTAAATGTTACATCATGGAAAATACTGAAGGCTTGTTTGAATTACTGTTTTAGTTTATGCCTAAAGTCTCATTTGTTTCAATTCATGAAAACTAGTCACTGTTTGGTTATTTTTGGGCTCAGTAAGTGAAACATCTTCACTGGTTTCTGAAGCAGTTTTAAGTATTACATGTAACTTAAAACTGTCAAGTTTTAAACCACAGCATGAAATTGATATGCATCACCTTTTTATTTTCAGATTACGTTGAGGCCCTTGTATTATCATTTATATGTTGATGTTGGAAATCCTCCACCGGAATGGATATAAGATGTTCTGGCATTGAAGTTTACATTTTACAACGCTTTGTAGCCTTGGAAAAATTATTTTCACAAAATTTCGTTGTTAAACTTTTTGTTTTTGTTTATTTTCCCTGCTTAAAATAATCAGAGTTAAAAATTTCTACTTTTTGGCAACAGTGTGCCACAAGCTTGTAAGGATTACTGCTACATCTGTTTTTTAAAGATTTTGTGGACTAGTCTTTGCCTATTTTTATCTGATCAATTTTTAAAACTGATTTTTCGTGCCGTTCTTGAGGTGCTTTTCCTTTTGAAGTTTGCACCTATTGATTTTCGCTGTGATATAGAGAAAATTTTCTTCAGCTTAAGTGGTTTTTTCCTTTCTTCCAATTGCATATTCTTATTTAGTAGTGCAAAGAATGCGTAGAACCATTTTTTCCGTGATCTTCAAATCACTGTATCACTCATTTAATATTCACTGCTTTTCTTAGTTGTGCTTTTTTCTTTAGTTTGTTGCTCTGAATAAAAAGCTACAAGGTAGCAGTTGCTATGTTGTAATTCAGTGCAGATAATTTAGCGTTTTTGTCATGTTTTTTGATTTTGTATAGAATTATACTCTTTTTTTCGTAACTTTATTACTTTGAAGCATCTCTCGATCTGTTTTCCTCCGTATGTTTTCTCTAATATTCATTTAGGAATGTGATGATGTGTCGTAAGAGTATTGTATTTATATTCGGGTCATGTGCTTATGACTATTTGTAATTGAAAATTGCTCAAAATTGATGTTAATATTGTAGGAAAACAGCCACATCACCAATTCAGTTATTTTGAGCCATTTCTCAGGTAAACTTTACTTCATATCTGTTGTCACAAAATCATTTTCATTATGCATTTAATAATCCTGTCATTTATTATGTCGTTTCTGGTTTTTCTCAGTTTAGCACTCATTATTGCTATGCATAGTAACTATTGTATTGCTTCAAAGACTTTTTTGAGCCGCACTATTTTTTCTCTCTTTCAATTGGTCGTAAGTCTACATGTTCTTCTTGGAAGAATAAATTAAACGAAGGATATTTAGGTTTTTTTTAAGCTTCTGTTGGGCTATTTCCTTACTGTGCTGTTCGTCACGTTCAAAATTTATCGATGCAGCAGTAGTGTCTTGGTAATGCTGTAACGTTGAATTAATGTTATGCATGATTATGTTATCACTTTGTAGTACTAGCCTTATTTTAGTTTAGTAACTCCAGAGATTTGTTGTTTTTGTCTAAATGGAATAAGGACCAGTCTATGTATACTCGTTACAAGCTTTTGCACTTCTCACTTTTCTCTCTTTTAATTCCATCATTATCAGTGAAACTGGAGGTAGTACTTCCGTTTCTGTTCTTAGACGCTTTTGTAAGTTTCTTATTAATTACAATAACCATTACCAGAAGAATAATGTCTACAATTGCTTCTATACCCCGCCACATTTCACATCACATTTATGCTATTTTAGTTTCTTGACATTATTGCAGCAGTTCCGAGTACGTTGCTATTCTCATTTAATTTTCATGAGTTAGAAACAACGAAAATAGTTCAATTTCTTTCTAGAATAACATCACAATGATAATGAAGTGCTCAAATACTTTTAACGTTTGGAGAGCTTTCTTCCCTGTACATATGTTATACTGGTAAAGATTTAGTTTGCTCCCATTATTCATTCCACTTTCATGTATGTTTTCGTCCTTATTACTTTCATCGCTTTTATAATTTGTTACTTTTCATCCTTAACACTCAATAAAGTGGCTAGGTGAGATTCTAGTAATCTGAATCTTCTTTAAAACTCTAATGTATGATATTGTTTATACATGTTATTAGTATAGCTGATGTAATGTTGGTGATCGCTACATTTTTATCAAGCTTCTTGATCATTGATTGCAAAGCGTACTTAAACAAATTATTAAAATGAGCTCAAGTCATATATGTGTATTTAGTAACCTTATTTTTGCTACAGCTAAGTATTTTTTTATGGTTAAAATTGCGCAGTGTTACATTGTAGTCCATATCTGTGATTTTTTATTGTATTCAAACTTCTAAATGGAATTTACATAAACGAATAGATAAAAACTTGTGTCAATTGCCGTTTTTATAAATGTTGGTGCAGGATTTAGAAGTTGTGGTATATTGTGGTTTACTATAATAATGGTGTCTATTTAATACCTTGAGAATGTTGCAGCTGTTGTAATTCATTTAATTTCGGACTTCCATTATTTAAATTCTTGTAATGTAAATGTAGCATTAGCGATCTTCCAGATTTAGGAAGGAGATTTAAAAAGACCTCCCTGAACTAGCAGCAGCGATTTCGGAAAGAGTAGTCGTGTTGTTAACATTTAATCCACTTAATTCATTGGTTTTGTGGTCATGTATTCCATTTAAATTGTGCGAATGAAACTCGGATTTGTTTTTCGGAAAGGAAATTGCCAATACGAAATTTTGGTCGAGTAAAATTAGGTTGCATGTATTTATTTATTCAAAGCATCTCTGATTGTTTACATGACAAACTAAATATGTCAGGGAAAGAGAATGAACTCCTTAGACTAGTCGTAAATTATTTTTTATTATTAAAAAAATTTTAATAATAAATTATTTATTTAAGATTACTTTGAGGAATTCAATCTATAAGTATCTGATGGGAAAGGTTATATTTTTGCAAATTGTTCAAGTCAAGAACTGAGAAAGTGATTGGTTTGTTAACCAGTTAAGTTGTTTAAATCGTGAGAGAACTGTATAACAGTCTTGGGACTCAAATCGTCATGTATAGTACTACTGGTAAATTTGTGAAGATCGGTACATGATGAGTTTTGTTGAGATGGAAGCGTTCACACTTACGTACAGAGACATTCTCTTTTGCGAGCACTGGAAAAGAATATTGAATAAAATCAAATTGCTTTCGTTTGTTGAGAGTATTAGTTATGATCTCGGACTTTTTAAAAATTTTTCATGATTATATTTATTTTTTCTTCGCTTTTGAAAGTTCAGCATTCATTTCAAACACATGGTGCACAATTCAGCATGGAATCAGACATTTCTTCACGAGCGGATGGAAGGCTCTTTTCATTTGGGGGATTAACATGATGAATTCACGAATATGTGTGCATGTATTTTTAATACTTATTTTTAGAAATGTATGAAAGGTTGACACATGTTACTATGTGCTTGTTAATAATGAAGATTTTCAGTGTTCATTGTAATGAAAATGTAAGTATTTTTGTGGGAAAAATACTAGATAGCATGTGGGAAAAGGCTTGTTTTTAAGTAGCTTTTTATCGCTCACAGTGGAACTTTTTATGAGTCGAAAATAGCAAAAAGATTTGAAAATTATCTGATTAGTATTGCTTGATTTAAAACTTCGAAAAAATTAAGAACTCTTGTGCAAGTTTGGCACTTACTTGCTTGCTGATAATCTTTTACGCAAGGATGCTAATTTTATGCATGTCTCACTTCTTGTTGTTTTGAAAATGTAATCTAACTTCTGCATTTATGAAGAGAAGTTAAACAAATTGCAATAATTTATTTGTGGGATTTAAGCATCTCGTAAAGCAAATAAATGATTGTGCTTGAAGTGAGTTAGTCGTTGAAGTAATTGAACACAATGTAAATCATTTTTTTTGCATTCGTAAAATGCTTAAATAAACAATCTATGATTGATAAAGTAATTGTATGTTACTTTCGTGTCCTGAAGTTTCTTTCATTCCTAATTTCACATGTATAACAGGTAGTAATGATACAGACAGTTTAATGACTCTAATTAAGTAAGCATAAAAAATTAGAGAATAATATGTAGTGGTAAAAGACTGAAATGAAACAATATAGCTAGCTAGATGCGCTGATAGATAATTTGTCAAGTTTTTCATGATGCAAAACATTCCAGAAAAACAGTGCATGGGATAAGTTGAAAATTTTGTTATGATTTTTGCCGCTAGTAAAAATGATTTTAAAATTACGTTAAGAAGAACTATTCCAATAAAATGCATATTGTTCACAGCATTTTTGCCATTTTAGCGAATTGTCTTCAAGAAATCAATATTTTGTCATTTTTGTTGTGCTGAGGATTAAAAAAATGGCAGCAGTTTTTAAGGTCAAAAGTAAATTCAGTTATGAACTTAATATAAGTTGAAAGTAGTTTCGATTATGAAGTTATAGAGAAGTAATTAAGACATTTGTTAAATAAATTACTCATAGCAAGTAAGAAATGCAAAAGATGATGAAAAAGGTAATAAAGATGAGTGGAAAGAGAATCCGTGAGACAAGATCAATTCCATGGTTTTGCTTAAAGTTTGCACATTTTGTATCATACGCTACTTCGACTGCCTGAAAATCATCAATTTTTATTGAAGCTATTTGTTTAAGAAAAATTCAGAAATTAATTATCAAGAGCACAAAATACCAAAATAGTATGCAATGTTTTACTTAATTTATATCTCTAAGTGACATAACACTAACCAAGCAAAAATAATTTCCGATTCATTAAGTGGTCTATTTTTGAAATAAAATTTTTATATACATGACTTTTGTCTAAAATACATTTTAAGCGTATTCAATTCAGCGATTTGATCACATAAGTATCCAAAAATGTCTAATATGAAATCTTAATTTTTCTCATTTTGGATTGCAACAATTCTAGTATTTGGAAAGAATAATAATGTATTTAAACTACAGTGTTTTTGATAAAATATTGCTATTTATATTAAATAATTAGACATGATTTTTCAACAAAAAGCGCTTTTCAAGAGTGAAAGTATTGAATTAGAAGAAATACGCATATATTCTAGCAAAAATAATTCAATAGAGCATCAAAAATTTAAGTCTGCACTTAATTCTGTGTTTCATTAATTTATTAAGAATGAAAGGAAGAATCAAAAAGTAAAGATGTACAAATACTTCTCTGGTAACAGTTAGCGGAGATTCATCATCTTTTAGCATTTTCTTGTTATTGTATCGAATTGTTCGTCTAATTCCGCAACAAATAACCATGAAATATTCAACCAGTGATGCAAATGTTAAGATAAGGCAAAATATGAGCCATATTTGCATACTCTTACCACTATGCATTGATAGATAAGACTGTGAATAAAACATCTGCAAATATAAACTTATTCTTTTAAGTAGTTTTGGTAGTCAAAAAAGAAAACACCATAAGATAGGACCGATTTTTTTTACATTAGTAAATTATTTAATAATTTTCGGTACTTGTCAGCATACTTAAATAATACAATTATTATGTACCATTATTATAACAAAGATGAAAAAAGGTACTGCAGCACTGATTGTTCGCGGTACTGACCATGACCCATGCACCCAAAAATGAAGCCATGACGCTAATAACTGAAATTACAAACTCGTATTGTCAACGCGTATTTTATGTAAGCATTTTAGCGAAAAATTGAAAATCTACAGAGCTGAATTATTTTTACAAATATCAGTTATGTTCTGATGGTTTATTTCTGAATAAATTTAAATCTCTATACTGCTTCTTTTTTTGATACTTGCATTTCAAAAATGATGTTTAAAGAGAAGTACGAAAATTATGATTAAACTGCAATAAATTGCTGCATAATTTAATCTTTTAGTATTGCTTCAATGATATATATTTACCAGTACTGCTGATGGAATGATAATGCGCCATATAACTTCTGATGTAGAACCTTCGAATGTTACTAGGACATCAATACATGAATAAACACCTGTAATTACTTAACTACTCAAATTTATACATTTTATTCCTACTATAAACCTTTATTTTAAACTATTTGTAAAAAAATTAACATAGTTGTTAAGTGCTTTAGTGAGGACAAGAAGAAATATTTTTCTACATGAACATAATATTTATTGGAGGATACAATTTTGGCAATTACAATTAATTTTTGAATTGAATTACTTACCTATTTAGTGCGTATTTTTGCCTTTTTTGAAACTAGTCTATTTTTGTGTTATTTTTCAAATATGCACAAATTAAAGTTAAATACGTGAGTTAAATCGTTCTGTAAGCGAAAAATGAACAAGAATAACTGAAAACCGAAAATTAATGCAATAAAAGTGAACGGTAAATGTGGTCCGATCTTACCAACAGTATAATTTCCAACGCAGTCCTCAGCTACTGCTTCTTTAAATTCGTATGGACCATTTAATAATTCATGTGATACCTCAGTTGGTACCACAGCTGGTGGAGAATTTGCCCATAAATAGACGATATCTTCGATTGGATACACATCTAGTATGAAATATTAAAAGATTTATCTTCAAATAAATTAAAATTATCCAGTAAAATCTAATTTTATCATATCTCCATCAACAGTTTTGTAATTAAAGCATCTTATTCTCCACTTAATGTATAAAATACTCTCATTAGCTAATAGTTCTGATTTATATGTATTTCATTCCTTAAATATCATCTTATTTGCTCTTAAAGCACTTTTTTATTTCATCAACTTTTCAACCGTCGAAAAACGTTGCCTTAATATGCACGCAAAACTTCTGCCTCAAATTGAGAAATATCAGCTATGGTTTTGAATTAATATCAACTTTATGCCAGTAATTAATTAGATTTAATTATATTTTAAAACAAATAATAACTTGCAAACTTTTCCTTTTGCTAGAAAGTTTCTTGGGAAGCAAAAATTAAGCAACCGACGACGAAAATGTTCCACATATATTTTATTTGTACCTAAAATATTGATAGCTATTCGTAAACTAATGCATACTAATTGAACTTACAACTCGATAATCTAAGCTTGAACATGCGAGTATTGTCAAATGGATACTTTGGACCATATTCTGCAGATATTGTTACAGTACGCCTTTAACAAATTCATTAATGAATGACAGAAATGTATGTAAGCTTATCTAACAATTTACTCATGAATGGCAGTATTTTGAAAGAAATTTTTAGTGCATTATATTATAATATAAGATAGACAAAAAATTTTCACCTTTCTACTCCAAATTTTTCAGTGCAGATTTGAAAAAATTTTTGTAAACATTTTGTAAAGACTGCAATGTTCGGATTGAAAAAATTAGCATATTTTCTTAAACAATATTTATTACAGCATATTATAATATTATTTACTATAGTGTGCCGTAATAAATAATGTTTAAGAAAATATGCTAATTTTTTTAAACAGCATTACTTTTGGAGTATTCTCAAGCTTTATACTATTTTGATCAATACCATCACTTCATAATATAAAAGTTTTTACTTCTTACTACACTGTTTAAAGAAAATTACTCATTATAACTATAAAAGTAACTATCTAAAATATATATGGTCATACTCTAAAAAAAGGAGTCGAAAATTTATCCACCATAAGGATGAAAAATTCAAATATCCTAATATGACTGTAAAAAAATGTATTAACTTTTCAAAACATAATTTTAATTAATAATAAAATGTAATGAAAGTTTGTTAGAAAAAATAAGAACATTTCAGAAGATCGAATATATCCATTAGGTTCAATTACTATTCGACGGCGATTCTCATACTGAACATCTCGACCATTCGAAAAGTATGTATCAGGTAACCAAATAGGTTGATTTTCAGGCACAGTAATCTCTTCAATACCATCTCGATCTACTTCATATACTAATCGTGCATCTTCCCATTCTTGACGTAAGTATAAATCAACAATCTTAAAGTGTGACATTGTATTAAATAATGAATCGTTTTGTTTAATATATTGACTCTATGTGCTTTTAATATTCAGAAGAAATTATTTTAGAGTTTTCATTTATAAAATATATTTGATCAAAGAGTTTGCTCTTTATTGATAACCATTATTTTTTATATCACTACAAATCCAAATTAAATTGTGATTTTTTATAAATTGGGAATGCAATGTTATTCATCTAATAAATTAATATATACATGAAACGAACCGCTTCTTGTTCATTAAATGAAATTCGATTGATAAAAATTGATACAATAACAGCAATTGCAGAGTGTTCCACCGAATCTGAAAATAATATAAAGTAAAAAGGTGAAAAATCATTTGATGAAAGCAACCTCTAACAGGTGGACGAGTTTGTGGATCGTAATCGGAGAAAAGTCTCGATAGCACTTGTCCAGAAAGACTGATTTGTCGTGATCGCAATATTTTCGTTGATTGTCCATTTACTGGTATCGTTATAATAATACTAGAACAAAAATGATATTAATAAATATTATTGTACAGATGATTAGAAATGCAAGCATATGGAATTACTCTTTTTCAAATAAATATCAACATTGATTCATTTGAGTTTTCTATCTACAAGTTCTACTTCTGACTTCATTTTCTTAGTCATAAGTATATACAATACTGCAGACGCTGAAAATTAATATATTTATATGAAGATTAATAATGTCAAATGAAAGATTTCTAAGTTGATTATGTATCTGAAAGTGCAGTACCTTCAACAAAAATTATATCAAAGCTTCATTGTCAAAGCTTTTTTGGTGTTGAGGTTCAGCTATGTTATTGTTTAGAAGCAGTTTTTAATAATAAAACTTATCTAGTACTATTAACATTACATTATAAAACTTTACTCAAAAAGGTTTGGATTTCATATAAAGGTTGAAAAAAATATTTACAATTAAAACAATAATAGAGCAAGAGTTTACTAATGAAATCAGAAAGTGTAAACTGTTACCAAATAATATTTTATCTATATCAAAATTTTATAACATAACACGAACAATGTAATAGTTACATTTTTACATATGTTATAAAGTTTTTAATTACTTCAGTCACAGTAACATTAAGAATTTTAGTGTTTTTAAGTGATTCCTGGAGTCTTATAATTTATTTCGGGAATGAAATTTCTTTTGAGGAGCAATGATTCAAACTAGTTTAAATAACTTGAAATGAAATCAAATGAAGTGGTAGTCAAACGTTATCATTTAATAAGCACAATAAACCAGCAGTTTTTGAGAACGAAGCGCAGATTTTATGACTGAAAGTATTTATTTCTAAATTTTTTTACAGATTTATTACCAAAGGTTATGTGAACTGAAAATGAAAGATAAAATAATCAGCCTGCTAAGCTATTCGATTTTTATTATAAATTAAAGTAAGAAATATATTTGACTACTTTTTAAACGAAAAAAAAATGTCAAACTTCGTACTGGCTGCAAAAAACTTTTTAGAGAAGAAATTGATAATCACAAATTTGCATATCTTTAACAAGTCTGATCTCCCATGATGGAATCTGCTAAAATTATATCTGAGAAATTTCTTTACTCCAATTTAACTGTCCAGAATTTCTTTTTTTCTCTTACTTTTATTTTAAAAGTTGTTTAGTGGTAATTTATCAGCATCATTAATTTACAACTAAATTTCTTGAGTAAAACATAATAACAAGCAAAAATTCCACTGACAAAGTATAATTAACAAGACAAGTATGGAAAAATTTATAAGCACTATTTAAGGAACTTTCCTAAAAATAGTTTTTATGGAATAAAAGCAGTAAATATTCGAACTTTTTAACGTGCAATCAAAAAAAGAAAACGAAAAAATGAAGCAATATTTTGAGAACATTCCTTTCTCATGTAATGAAATAATTAATTACAAATGAAGAAAATTGAAACTCTTAGAGAAATAGAAAATGAGAGAGTATTTTTAATTTCTACGATTATTTCATACTTTGCGGATATCATTCACTTATGCCTCCATGTTCAAGTATGCTACGATATTTTTAGGGTTTTACTAATTTTTTTTTAATAATTCCTAGCACATCCATTAATTATAATAAATATTTATTGAGAATAATTGCTTATTGACAAATAAATATAAATTTTTAAACATAATCACTCAAAGACTCGCGTGTAGAAAATTTCATACGTCACAAAATTCTGATATAATTGAAGAAATGCAAATGAGTTTCAAAGAAATAGTCTTTATTAATTATTAGAAATGATTAAACTGGAAAAAAAAAAAGAAATATATACCTAATCAAAAGTGGAATCCAAAAAATGATTGGCTTAATGGTTAGTTGCATATTGGTGCACTCTTTCGATGGCACCGTCTGATGCTGAAAACGCGAAGAAGTGGAAAATATCAGAAGAACTGACTAATTTTTACAATTAATATATTTATTCACTTATACAATTCAGCAAGGAAAGAGATTATTTGTAAGCTTCAAAATAGAAGAAAATTACGAAAAAAATAAGTGGCTTGCAGTTGAGAAAAGTTTATAGACATAGTGAAATCTGAAAGAAATTTTCAGGAAAGGATATTTGTTGAACATTTGGCTGCTCTTTGGCATTAAACTGCTAGACTTTCTCTTGTGATGTGAATGTAAACTGCAGAGGAAAAACAAATCAGCCCGTCAATCAGTAAACAAGTAAGTAAGTAAGTAAAAGAAAAGTGAAGAAGCTAGCTTTTCATTATCTTTCAAATTTGAATTGGTTTTCAGCGAAAAAAACTCTGCGTCACTTTTACCACTCAAACTTTAAAGTTCATTATTTTCCCGATTTTCTTGAACTATTTTTTTTGCAGTGTTCTTTTTTCCCTCAATATTATGACTTTATGGCATTTATCGTCTTGGCTTAATGCTATTACTATCACTGTTATCAATATTGATACTTCTGTTGCTTATCATTGCCACAACTATGAATGCTACTTCTCCTACTATACCTCTTAATTTTTCTTCAATCAGTTTTATCATAGTATTATTGATAATAAATAACCTTATTGCCAACATTACTGTCCTATTAGTGCTGCTTGTTTCCACGGAATATTTCAAAAACTAATGCAAGTTATAACAGCTTTAATGTACCTGTTTAAAGTAATGACAAATTAATCTGATACATTTAGCACTCTAACTACATGTCTTTATATATCGCTTCATCTGTTCGGCTTGTAACTAATTTGTCTGACGATGTATTCGAAAAACCAGCTGTTGCACAGTTTTCTGACTGTTTTTAACAAATTATATACAAATTTGCTCAATTCCAACTATTGCACTTTTTCAACCCAAATTCCAGTGTAATAAGCATTTGAGTCGATGAGTTAGTTATTCAGCTCAAATAATTGAGAAAATCAAGAATTACATTGATTAACGACATTGTAAAAGATGATTACTCTCGAGTACATGGAAGTATAGTGTAATCTCGTAGCACTTGCCAATAAATAACAATTATTTATGGATAGAAGGAGAATACAGTCTTCATTTCATTTCATTTCAATACAAGGAATATTTCGTAGCTCCCAGTAGAAACAGTGCACAATACCTACCAACCTACCTACCAGTCATAATCCATCTATCTCATTAATTCATCCAGGTCTTTTATAAAATTTAATAGTTTTGCAAATTATTCAAGAATATGCATATTACATAGAGCAAGTCCCACGCCCTTATTATAATAAATAATAATAATAATAAGTAATGAGGTTATGGAAAAGGAAGAGGATATTTTTTGATAGCACAGCTGCTATAGAGAATTACCGTCATTTTGTTTTGTCAAAATAATTTCACTTTGTATCCACGCACTTCAATAATAATTTTAACTGCTATGGAATTTAACATAGGAAAGCGTAAATATGTTTGAATCACCAGAGTTAACACGTCAACTAAGCAAAAAAGCCAGAACCTGAAAAATGATGAAGTTCGTATCGATAAAAAAAATGAAAAATGAGTCTAACATTATGCTTTCCCACAAAAGCTTAATCTTAAGCTCATTTTTCATTTTATTATTGTTTCAGCTAAATGCTACTATACCGTACATTACACTACTACCTTTGCTCCTTATCATTACCATCACGATGAATGCTACTAATAAATCTGCAAACTCCTTATTATTTCGTCTCCAGCAACTCAGTTATAATCACTGCTGACCCCTTCATACAATTTGCTTGTAAGTTTTCAAAAAATGAGTTTTACTTTAGATTGAGATGAATTGCTAGGAGAAAGCAAATCTACACTGTTCTTCTAAGGAAAAATGGAATCCATAAAATTCCAAACTTTCACTGCAGGAACTGTGCGTTTCTCAACACTTTTATAAAAGTATAGGACTTCCGCTTCATCCCATAACAAAATCCCGCATTAACTATATACAAATTACTACTACATCTTTAAATGACTAGACATTTCACATCAACTACAAAACAATATAACCCCTTCATGAGCTATGCGATTTTTCTTTTTAAATTTCGTGCAAAAATAATTGAATAACCACCCGATCAACACTTCCACACAAAATGAAGAATTTAGCATCATGGCGAACAGTCTTCATACCGACTCTCATACTGGATTCAATTTTATATTAATCAAACAAATAAAAATCATTTCCGTGAGATTCTTTTAATTCGATTTCACCATTCAATCTGCAATATATTTAAAAAGCAGTCACTAATTAAATCATGTTAGCATTTCATAGCTATCCGGATATTTACAGAACAACAAACTGAAGTAATATAGTGACTCAATGAATCATAATTACGATTCTTAGAAAAAAACAATTTTCTAGAATGAGTAACACAAACTAAATCCTGTCCCTAAAGCACACTGTTCAAATATTTCAATATATACATTACGTGCTAATCTCAAACAACAATGAAATTACATCACCCGTAAACTAGTATAAGACGTAGTAAGATGAGGCGGCATATGCAAAATTAACAAAAAATGAAGAAATAACAAATAACGAAATGAATAGGGAACAAATGATACAAAGTATGAAACAAAGTTTACACTTAATTATGCTTTGCTCTGTGACCAGTCGCGTATGCTGCCCAACGATCAGCAGTTACATTGAATAATTCATCTTTTGTAATGATGTACAGCCATTTCAACAAATAAATATGTACTGAATGATAATCCCAACGAGCTAAATTTGGTGCTCCTCTCAAGTTTAAATGTCTTAAATCATAAAGAGTACCACTGCCAGTATCAAAGAGAGGTAAGAAAGTACGCAAACTTTCTAAACCAATAGAAAATAATGCTGCTGAATCGTTTTCATCACCACGCAAAGCAGAAAGTTGTGCAAAGTCATATAAGCCAATTAGTGAATAAAGAAAACCGTTTAATACAAATGTACCAGGAGTAGTAGGATATTCTTCAAACCAGGGATGATGGAAGAGTTCGTTCCGCACTCCACCTTTTGCAGCTTCCTAAAATGCTGCACAAACAATGAAACATGCGTCTAAAAATTTACAACATTTTAAAATCTCAGTTAAAAGTGGAAAAAACTCAACAACGTGGAATTGATATATATTTAAATAAAAGCCTGAAAACTCTATTTTTTTTCTATCTTGTAATTCTTATTAAAAAATTTTGCTGTAAGCTTGAAGTTGCTCAAACTAAATCGCTCACTAGATACATCGCGATGTGCAAATATATTTGAGAGCTTTATACCCATACTAGTTGCATACAAGATATCATTGATTTCTCATGAAGTACTCTTAACTTTTTGCGGGCAAACTTTTATGCTATTTGTGATTGATAAAAGTTAAATAAACTTGCCGTTTTGAACAAGAGGAGTGCATTCTTTGCTGCTTGCAAATATTTTGTATCATTTGTTAAAACAAAAGCTCGAGTTAGTACACTTAGAGCATGGCCTTGTGCCATTGCACTATACCAACCAGCTGGCAAAATCAAGCGTTTATCGGCAATTGAACTAAAAACTTCAATCACAGCACAGATATGCTATTGAAAGTTGACAGAATTTCTTGTTCCAATAACTGTATACGGAATCCGGTAACTGAACTTCCAGACAATTCATGATGTTTTGATAGGAAATAAGAAAGCAGTGTAATTTATTACAATTTAAAATTAACCGTTCGACAGGAACTGGCCAGCCACCATGTTTGTCTTGATTATCAGTAAACCAGTCAGCTGCTATGAAAAAGTACTCAAGATGAGCAGAAGATCTTTGTTTAAGATCACGTATTACTGAATGTTTCCAAAACATAACTGAATCTACTGATACATCGCCTACATGAAATAGAATCTATCGAAATATCACGAAAAAGAAAGGAATTGTTTATGACCCCTTTACACAACAATGTAAAAAAATCTGGAACTAATAAAAACATTGCATCATCTAACTCTGTGCATTACCGTAATGTTGAAAAACCATGAATGCTTTACAACAAATGAAGATCAACAATTTTCAATGCTAACGACATTAAAATCTATTTTAACAAAGTGATCCATGAAAGACAAACTTATTTAAAACTAATTATTATTCAGTTCCAATTATTTCCCCATTCAAATACTGAGCTTCTACACAAGTCAGCAACAGAAAATTTCAAGACCTGTACGGAGGAGAACTGATTCCTTTTTCTTTGCTGTTAAAGCTAGCGCCCGACCAGCATCGGCCAATAAATCACGACAAATCCACCTCCATTCATCCGGATTAGACTGTATGCCCAAAGAATAACTGTAGTCTGACTAAAGATATATTTAAATAGTAAATGAAATATTCAGTGATTTGAAAGAGCGAAATTTACAATGCGCTAGAACTATATCAGCGGCCCTCATTATTATTAAGAAAATAAGTCGTAACCTATTAATTGTGGTACATACTTTGCTCTTTTCCACGTTTTGCCATACGCATTGCTCATCATCACTGTGCACGTAGTTCAAAAATAATGTTTCTGCAGTCTACAAGAATCCAAAATTATGAACAAAATATTATGGAACAGAAATAATTAGTAAAGTCAAAAAGATTCAAAAGTTACACATAAAGATTTTTCAAATATATGACATTGATTATTTTAAAAAAAATAAATAAAATGTGGAGGCTAGTTTCAATTTTCGCTTTATTGGTTCTAGCGCTGGATCGCATTCCGGCACTCTGGCAGTATTTGTCTCGCGCTCAGATTTGTTGTACTCATCGTTCTCACTTCGTCTTCGTGGAATCCATATCGACTGTCGTGGGAGATGCCATCAATCGTCTTCTTAAGAACTGTCGATTGAATATATGCTTCGATGTAGTCTGATATACCAATTTCCTTCGCGCAACGTTTGTGGAAGTTCCTTACAATCCCACCCCAAGTCATCACATACGGAATTATTTCGGTCCTGAATTTCATCTCTGACCCTTAGCCAGTAGGTCATATTTTCTCTTTTTATCGGTCTCGACTGCTATTAACCTGTCCTAACCAGTGATACCAACCTCAATCAGGATTACTTAACGTCACTTCTTATCGTGTATCATGATATCCGGTCGATCCGCCTTTATTCTGATGGCAGTTCTCATTCGCATATCGACTCTGATCTCAACGTTTTCATCCT